CATGAGGTTGTGTGAAATGAATTGTAGTTTGTGTTTGATAACAATTTTACGTTTTTTCCCTTTTTTCTGTGCTTTTATTATGCTTAAGTTTTGACTGCTTTTCTGTTGTCATGTTAATCGGCTTTCGGTATAGGGTGGAGAGAAGCAGCAGTTTTTTAGTTAAGGTGGACGAGTTCAGTTTTATGAGTCATATGCAAAACACCAATTTGGGGGGGGGACGACTTTTATGTGCAGTAAGGCATCTGTTAAGTATAAGGGTGTCAAATCTGCTTCACTGTTGGGTCAACTGTTTCTTAACTAGTAAAAATTTGTAAACTAAATTTACCTATCAGGTCTTATGGATAAAGTAATTTATTATTCCCATTTTCCTAAATTAATTTTTCCTATACAGTTTTGCCTGCTTTTTGCCCTACTGAGTAAAAAGCTATTCTTAGGGTTTTATGCATAATGTAATTTCCTAGAGGAAAACAAATGGGATTTTGTGAAATGTAATATGAAAGCCTACAGAAGGTTATGCAAATTTTGAGAGTATTTTTTCTAGCCATGTTATAGAATCCAAACCAAACTATTCAAACCTAAAAATTCTAAGTGATCATTAAAATTTACTGGAATATTGTTTTCATATTTCATTTAAGAGTGTTTCTTGAAGATAAGTTTCCTGCCCTGACAAAAATTCTCTGTGTGACAGTGGGACACGCTACTTGTGATTTGGTTCTATAGGTGCAGCAGTATGTATGCTCCTTGTTACATGAAAGTTTTCTTGCAAATTCCCAGCAAGCCCACCCATGCAAATTTAGGTGATTGGACAGTTGGTGCTGTGTACTGTGCGTGTCTGTCCCTGGTCTCTAACTCATCCTACTGGGATCTGGCCATCTTAGTTTTCATACAAGTTCTTTAGGGGAAAACCCTTTCTTTTATTTTTGAGCACGAAAAGATGGCACAAAACATACAACAAGCACATTTGAACCCAGTTAGGAATTCCAGGTGGCACCAAAGCCTAAAACACCCACCTGGATGCCAGTTTAAAAAAAGAAGGGGGGGGAGGCAAGCACAAAACCAGTTGGTTTACAGCATTGAAAAGAATTTGTTTTGCTCCTCACCTTAGTTGTCAATGATCATGTTTAATTGATCTGATTTGGCTTTTGTTTCCAGTCTGTTTGCTTTCTCATTCTCATGCCCTAGAGAGCATTTAATCGCTTAAATTAGTGCATGACATCACTTAAATCAGTTCGAATGAAGTCACAAAGTGAACAGTAAGCCAATCTTCTCCAAAATTCATGGGAGGAAACTGTATTCCCAATCATTAGCATAGATTGGTAAATGAATACTGACCAGTGTGAAATTAAATTCACCTTAGCTTAACTCTTCGACTTTTTTGTTTTGTTTTACCAAGTTAGTTGTTTGTTAGTGATGATTGCAAACATGTTATTCATGCCTCTATTCCCAAGTATCCGGCCTTTGAATTTCGATGAGTAAAGTGGTTTGGGAAGAATCCAGATCAGTTCATGCAGAGGCTATTCATGTTTAGTAGAAAACTACTTAAAAAAGTCTGAGCATGGATTTTGTATGAACTTTTACCTTAAAAAAAAGACCTATATGTGTGCATGTGCCTGCATATGCATATATGCAATTATATCATTCTAAAATTTTCAGCAATTTACTGTCTTACATGAATCTTTTTTTTATTGTTATACATCATCATGTGTATTTTATAAAAAATTCCAGGTTTCCTTTTCCTTTAGGGAAACACATTTTAGTTTACTTTCTGAGTAATGGTTTGCAAAGCATACACAGTTCTCTACTGTTTTATAGTAGAGAATCTAAAAAATATTTTCAAATGTTTTCATGCATTTGATTTGTGTTTTTAGAAAATTATAATTTGAATACCTGTAATTTTATCTAGTCAGACTAGTCTGATAGTACTCTAAATTCATCCTGAGATAGATAAAATATTCAAACTGCTTGAAAAAGAAACTGTTTTCCTGAATAAAAGTTCAGTGCAATTAAATTACAACATATAAACTGTACCAAATTAGGATGTGGTGTTAAAGTACTGCAAATGATGCATTAGAGCAGTGTTTACCATCTTCTTTTTGTTTCTTTTGAAAAAGAAGAATTTAAGCTTGGTATGCTCTCCTTTTGCATATGCTTTCATTCTAAGGATTCTAAGCATTATGTGTAGTTCGAACAATACTTGGACTATGATATGTATGTCATTTAAAACAGCTCACTACAATGATGTCTTTGAAAAACTTTCACTTGAAGTCTTCGCAATGAGGTGTGTCATGTTGCACACACCGGCAACTGTTGATGTTTTATGGTGATCATGTCTGGTCTATGCTGGCAGGATACATGTCTCACTTCAGCTCTGGTGAGGGACACTAATCGTGCAACTCCTTATAGGCACGGAGCTGACCTCTCCAGGCATGCACCATGCAGGCAGGGTGGATGGCTGCAGGGGTTTTATGTGAAGTGTCAGTTGAAAATGTTAGATCTGCAGGTAGTAGTATGCTTTTCGTCAAAAAATGCACATTGTGCAGAGTGAGGTGCTATCAGATGTGCTCAAGCCACGCACTAAAACCTTTCCAAGGCTTCCAAAGGGAGAACCGCTTTGTTTCCATGGATTAGTTCTGGTGGGGTGTGGGCTGCAGCAGTGTTACTGTGTTATGTGTTTAAGTACCGAACTTAATGTGAGTGCAGACTGCCCTTCCTGGTGAGGTGCAGGCAGAGCTCAGGAGGGAGGATGCAGACCCAGTGTGTGACATCCCTCTTTTGGGGCCATATGGCCTCAGCACCAGCTTCTCGCATAACTCAGCACTGCTTGGCATTTGAGTTGGACAAGTCTGCTGGCACCCAGAGTCAAGGTTGGAGTCACCAAGACATGACAAGGCCTCCTGTGACAATGTCAAGTGCCATGTGGCAGAAATTCACCGTTGAGAAGAGACGGGCTCTCCTTCTCCCCACTTGATACTAATCATGGAGAACAATGCTGGCTGCTTTGCAAAATATTAGTAGTGCTGTACAAAATCTGGGCCTCTTCTTATGGCCTGCTGAGTCATACTTGTTTACTTCATTGAAGTATTAATCTCTGTCTCTGATTGGCAGTCAACAGCTCCAGGCTCCAGGCTTAATAGAATTTTCAAACTGTAGATTATGAAGTTTTGCTGAAAATGTGAGGCTTCTATCGCACTTTGAATGACGTATTCTCCCGCACTCCCTTCTGGTCTGTTTTTCAGGGCCGAGGTTATGATAGATAATGAATTACTCCCATCCCAAGCTTTGTCTTTCAATTTAAGAATTTTCTTTAGCATCTGCCAGAATCTTCTGCATGCACTCCTGAGGGGTTAAGCAATGAAAGAGCCATTAAATTAACTTCAGCCATTATTTTTTTTCAGTAGGATGAAATAGCGATTCAGCATATCAAGAGGTTTCTGGTTTATTTTATTTCATATCATGACAAAGAAAAGAAATGTGGGAAGAAGAGGCTGGTTTTCTGGTTCTGTGGGAGGATGGTGAGTGAGGAGGCCTGTTTTCTGGTCCTAAAGCTTACTTCTGTGTTAGAAAGAAATAGGACATGAGGAGTGGATTAGTGGAGTGAAACAGCTATTGCCAAGGGCCTAATGTCGACAGTACGCAACTGGGAAGATAGTGAGAAGGGGTTTAGCAATACTTTGCTAATATATTGCTTACCTCAGAAATACTTTGCTATTGCCTGTAGAGCCTTTTCTGAGAATGAGGCAGTGTCAAGACCTATTGTGCTGTTCTCTGATGTGTTGTGATAAATGCTGTCACTGGTGAGTCACTCCTGGCTGGGGCTCTGATCACCGTCCTGCTAAGCAGTCTGCCCAATTCTTCATGTTCTGTACTTGCCACTCTAAGAAACCCGTATGCTCTTTTCACAGGCATAACTTCCCTTTTTGAAGAACTGTGTATCTTAAGGGGTTTTTTAAGAAATACATGAAAAAAATCAGTACAAATCTTCTGGAATGGTCTCTCTGGCAAACTACACGTACACCTACTAAAAAGTCCCAAGCAGTAGCAGCAAAATTGAGCTTATGTGTCCGAAACACAACATAGGAAAAATGGTATGAAGAAGAATGTATGAAGACAGTTTTCCTGTGCCACAATTGGTTTGCAGTGTGTCATTTACAGATCAGTTATGTACATGTACTGGAAAAGGTGTCTAAGATTTGCCACTGATACGAGCTTCTCCTTGATATTATTTCTGTTCATGCATCACTTTATTTGATAATTCTTCCTAAACGACATATGTAAAGTAGGCATATATTTCAAACCCAGGGGAAAAAAAAAAAAACCAAAAAAAAAGAGAAAGTAAGGACCATCTGAGTAAGTCATGCAAATCTATAGAGTAACAATTCTCATCACTTATGCCTGATTAAAATAAGGATTGGAAAATCCACTTTTTACTCCATTTCAATTTTGGTATAGCTGCCCAATTTGCAATTGCTTGGAGATGAATGTTGTTGCCACCATACCAGAATGCTATATTTTAATAGCTTGCAGATATTTAAAAAATCTCAATATATGCTAGAGATTCATTTCATTTACCTAAGAATAAGCATTGAACATTAGTTGTTTTACATGCCTCTGGTTAGTAGAATGTCTCAAGAGAGGCTCCTCCTGTCCTAAGCTATGTCTCCAAAATTATTTGTGCAAATAGCCCCTGGCCATTGACTGTGTCTCTGCAGGGAGCCTGAACAATTCATTCAGATGGGTTAAGTCAGCTGCAGATGGTGAAAGCTGTGAAATCAGATATGATGAAATTCCAAACTCTTTGCGGACTGTGAAAGTTATGCCTGATGATTGATCTATTCAGCGTGATTCTCTTTATTTAAAGAATTATTTAATGTTATTATTTTTCCACTTTGTGGGTAACTGCTTTAGCAAAAGTTGTGGAGAGAGTTCACCACAGCTTTCAATACTGCTCAGCAGGTTGTTCACTTCTATTGTCTTACATGTATTATTTTTGTCCTCTTTAGTCTTCTGGCACCAGTATTACAGTGGATATCGCTGTCATGGGAGAAGCACATGGGCTCATTACAGACCTTCTGGCAGATCCTTCGCTGCCCCCCAACGTGTGTACTTCACTGAGAACAGTGAGCAACCTGCTTAATACGCAGTTAACCTTCCAGGCCATCCACAAGCCAAGGGTGAACCCTTTGGTGTCCTTCAGTGAGAACTACACCTGCTCTGACTCAGAGGAATGTCCGGAGAAAGGAGAGAAACTAGCTATTCCCAAGGTGGGTGCTGAACCCTATCATCTTGTAACTTGGCTCTCCCTAATGGGACAGCACTGGACTGTGTCACTGCGTTTTTTGCTTGTTTGCTTCAGATTAACATCTTATGCACTAATCGGACTCTTAATATAAAAGGGACACGTAAGGAGACTTTAGGTTTCCTAGTAAGACAACTCCTGTGTATCCTTCAACTCATGGCCAGGTTGACTTTGGTTCAGGCATCTTCAGAAGACGATATTTGACACAGGATAGCTCACATAGGTGGTATGCCTATTTCATCGCAGGTATTGGCTGGAGCTTAAGAGAAAAGAAATGATAGGAAGCAGAGCAAGCAAAAGCCTTTCAGCATCCAGACTCACAAGTCTGCTCTATTACTTCTCACACAGAAATCCTCCTCCCACTTGAAGGATTTGAGCCGCTGCATGTGGGGTGACTGTCCTAGTCAATGAGCAGTGGGGAATTAAGGAGTAGTATGGGGGAACTTTTTGCCTACTTGGAAGATTGGAATTTGAAATTCTCTGTGAATTTCAGTCTTTTCTTCCTTCCCTTAGCTAGAGGTGTGGAACCTGTAGAGGTCAATGAAAAAGTCTGTACTGATGACAGCCAGGTGCTTTGGATCAAGTTTAGAATGTTGTATACCAAATAAACAGAATACTTAGTGTGCAGATATTGTAAGCTCATTGTAAGTAGTTTTGAGAAGAAAAAGAGGACTGAACCAAAAAGATACATACATTATTGCCTTGACAGATGGCTTTACAAATGCTAATGAATCCACCAGGAAATAACCAGTGTTAACCACCCACATTTAGTAAATGAACAACTAGAAGGAACACATCAGCTTTGAAGTAGTTTGGATTGTAGGTTTGTTGCTAATTAGCTGTCCTGCAAGGCTTACATTTCACTTTTGAAACTAAACCAAAATACTTTTGGAATTTTGTACTGCAGTCTCCCATGTAAGATTAAATACAGGCAGAGTACATTGCACAGGCACAAGCCTTTAACAGTCCAAATGGCACAGCCTGCATTCATTCCAGTATTTCCCGGCATCTGAATTGCAACACTTGTGATTCTTCCTTTAATATATTTCAGTGCGATGATAATAATTATGCTACTTGCTTATGTAGCAACTGTATGTATGAAAAGGATGTTCACATGTTTTAAGAGCATTTCCCAGTTTATTTTAGTGTACATGTCTATAATTGCTGTACTCTGGGCTCTGAGGGGAAAAGTTAAGTGGAAGAACACTGCCATCACGTGAGCAAACACAGTGAACAGATACCAGTTTGCTGTTGTGTAATACCTAGTGAGGAGAAAAGAAGTCAAGGATGAAGAAATGAGTTAATGCTACAGAGAACTAATTTGACTGAAGAATTCACTGACCTAGATGTATTATGGATCATAACACTAATAGTTGCAGTCCTTTATTAAAGTGTCTAAATACAGTTTGGGGTCTTTACCTTAACCATCTGACACTGAGCATTTTGAGTAAGGAGATAGTATGTTAACGTATTTTTCTGTAAGTTTGAGCTTTAGAACTACAGGTCTTTTCCATTTCATATCTCTTAGCCCTCTGGCAAAGTCAAAATGCTTCATCACAGGGACATACTTATTTTAGCTCTTACCTGTTTAAACGCTTCAGGAAAAGTACAGGAGAAATGTCTTGCAAAATTTTAGCATCTGTAACAGGAAATCTGGATCCATAAAGCTTCATCATCTTTTATTACCTCTGTCTTCAAAAGTTTGCAAAAAGCAATGTGAGTCTTCTTAGTGGAGAAAAGGAAGAGTCAGGTGAAAGAAAAATGCAGGGTGGTCAATAAGAATCTGCTGTAAACAGGGATGCTTTCTCTAAGCTTTTCAGGAGATGATATATCTCAGAGCAAGAAAGTTTTCTTTCAATCGGTGATCTTTGCATTGGGTAGAAATGGCAGGAAAAAAGTTGGAGCTCCCCTCCTTATTTTTCTTACAGCCTGTCTTACCTTGAATCTCTGATTCCATTCATGTCAGTTTGAGTCACAGAGTAGATGAGGTTGAAAGTACATCTGGAGATCATCTAGTCCAGTTCCTCAGCTCAAGCAAGTTGAGCGTGGAGCAGGTTTCTCTAGGCTAAACCTAGAGCTGGTTTCTCAGGAGGGTGTCCAGTTGGCTTTTGAGTATCTCCATTGGTTTAGACTCCACAGCCTCTCTGAGCAACTTCTTTCAGTGTTCAGTCATCCTTGAAGTAAAAAATACTTTCTTACATTTAAATGGAATTTCTTCAATTTGTGCCGCATGGCCTCTTGTCCTGTCACTGGACACGACTGAGCCTGGCTCCGTCTTTTTTACACCCTGCCTTCAGGTATTTATATACATTGGTAAGGTCTCCCCTATGCCTTCTCTTTTTCAGTCTAAGCCGCCCCGGCTCTCTCAGCCTTTCCTTTTATGGTGGATGCTTCAATCCCTCAGTCACGTTTGTGGCCCTGGTGACTTTTTTAAGTGCCTTTGGCCACATCATGTAAGACCAACATTTTTAAAGAGCACAACTATCATTGGCTGAATAGAGTGAGAGATCCACATGTTTAACATCGGTGGCTATGGGATTGTGCATACATAACTTTTTTTAACCTTAAAATAGGGAGGACGGTCCATATCCTCTAAGCATTTAAAACACCAGCTGTGTTGATTTGAATAAAAAGTAGGCACCATAATACCTGAGAGAATCCAGATTTAAGGTACTTCACTGGGTGTTGCCAGACAGAATTAATCAAATGGAAATATTTTTCTTCTTAAGTTTTTGTACACTTATATAAACCCTAAGCAACGGATTTCTCTCTAGCGCTTACGGAGAAGTTTGCCTCCAGGACTGCTGAGACGAGTGTCCTCAACCTGGACCACAACAACATCAGCCACAGGATTGCCTACACTGGAGCCAGCTCCGGTGAGAAGGGATCGCAGTGCCAGCATCAAACCTCACGAACCATCTTCATCCAGGTTTGTGTCTCTTCTTGGGTGAATTTCTTTTGTTCCGTATAATGATGTCCGTCATTTAAAAATGCTGACTCCAGAGTGCATGTGAACTACTTGTTCATGCTTCTCTAAACTGCATTGCCAGTGAAGTAGCATTCTCAGTTTTAGTCAGATTATGCCAAAACTGTTACTATTATTAGGAACTAAAATAAAAATAAGAAAAATCTATTTATGCTAGCAAAGTGCAAAAGCACCAAATTCAAGAAGAGAATTCAGAGCTGTGATATCAGAAGACTCACATGTTTTTCTACAGTTCAAAATTTGATGCCAGTAGTGGAGAAAAAGATAGGGCCTGAGAAGGCTCAACATCACCAGTGTTTGCTGTTGGGTATCTTGTGTGACTACAGTACCAAAGAGCTTTCTTCTGGATATGTAAACCTTTCCTGTAGAGGAGGCTCTCATGTAGGGCACCTAGGTGCTCAAGGCAGCGTGCAGAGTACACCAAATGTCTGGTGCAATAAAAATACATTATTATCCTAAGTTCCCTTTGTGAGGAGTCCCTTGTATCTCGGTGAAAGTAAATAGAAAGAAGCTATAACCAAATGGAAATCTTCTTCCTTTGCTAGCCTGTGATTCCCAGGGTACATTTGATTTATACTATTGATCCCAGACTCTTTATGTAGTATGTAAGAATCCTAAGATGGGAATCAGAGGGAAAAAGAGAGCAATTAAATATTATTGTTGGTCCTTTTCTATGGATGTGATATAACTCTACATGATGAGCCAACTAAGCAGGCTATCAATTCTTCCTATGTTTAATGTCGCCAATAGTATAATTATAGCTCTGTCAAGCCTCCCAGCCTACTGTTTGCAGTTCTTCTTTTACAGTAGGAGAAACAATGTGTATTCCAGAAAGGGGAAAAATCAATCCTATAAGTCTAGCTTTAAAAATTCTGGCAGAGCAATACTGATTTGCTTTCAAGGAAAAGAATTTTGAACTGAAGGAAAAAAAAATCTTGATTATCTACCACTTCCCCTGTATGAAATTCAAGCATGCCACAGGTCACAGAGAAAGAAAGATTTCATGGCTTGAAGGGTAGGAGAGGGGAAATTACACTGGAATTACCCTGTAGCAGATTCTGCAGTTACAAAATTTGTATGTCGTTGCTCAGTCTGGGACATTGCTTCTAGATCCCTATAGTTGTATATATGCAAAAATCCCCTGTTCTTAATATTAGCAATGCGGTATTCTTCCAACTGTGCCTCACTAAACTGGTAAGATATAGTCCTCCTATAGTTTCAAATGGTTTGGGAAGGATGATAAAATTTTCTCATTCCTATCCTCAGTCACTTCTATATGCAGTGATTCTCCCTTAAGAAGTTGGAGAAAGTGGTTTTGGAGGATTGGTTTGGTTTTCTTTGCAGTCGGAGAGTGTGTTATATTCCTCTCGTCAATTAAAAAACCAAACTGCAAAACAAAAAAATTTAAAAAACAGCTGGGTTCTTTCTTTGTCTTCACTACAGATTGGGCCAATGAAAACAGCCAGCAAATATTTTTGTAGGTAGTACTTGCACTTCCAAAATGAAAAGGTGTTTGTAGACTGAAGACAATATTACATGCTTTTTGTTTCAGAACACTTCTTTTTCAAGATCAGCCAGGACTAGGCTGGTTTCAAAGGCTGTCTTCTGCCATGCATGTTATTACATCATTTGCATGTGAGGCTGTGAGGAGAAATGTGGAGCCTGAGAGGCTGCTCACAGAGAGCATATCTGTCCAGAGAAGTTATAAGCCTCACCTTAAGAGCCAGTCCTACATCCCTGCAAACAGCTGAAATAAGGATGAGTGTCATTCAGGAAAACAATGATAAATACAATTCTCTTGCTTTACAGAAGTATTTGCCCTCTTCTGGTACACAGTTACAGCCTGAAGGCTAAAAGCGTGTACCCATCCTGTTGTAGGGAACCAGCATTTGCTCCCCACAAACACAGACACATGCACCCTATTTTCCTTCAGTGAGTTTCTCTTGGATCAGTGACCAGTGTCTTCAGGGACTGTCAACAGGTTTTTTTCTTGAGATGCAACATGAATTTCAGTTGGCTAGAGTGTGAAATGCTTCACCCAGAGAAGAGGCACACCACTAGCAGCAGCAATGCAGGGCTTTTCTGAGACTCTTCCAGCCTCTAAGGTGCTCCTTCAGTGCCTGAAGGGTTACTGGGTATCTGCCTTGGTGGTTGCAGCAGAGGAGTCAAGGAGGCTGATTTTTAAGCTACTCTGAGAACTTGTGACACTTCTGGCTCTTGTAAGGAGGCGTTAAAAGAGGATATAAATTTAACTTATTTCGAGTCAACTTTTAAGCCTCTTTGTACTGTCAGAACAATATGACAAAGACATCTTTGTATAAATAATGCGAATAGGCCTCAGCACTGAAGGAAGTCCAGCTTTGGAGCGTCTGCATTGTAAATATTTTTGCTGAATACAATACTGAGTGCCTCACAAAAAGCAGTTCAGCCAGCAGATAGATGCTGTTTTCCTCATCAGATTTTGTACTATCTCAGTTTCATGTACTTCTTGCAGTGGCTCCTGGCTTCTTAAGATCTGTCATTGAGGTTTTTGAGGTGTCGAACAATGCTTGTTTGTGCTCTGGTTTTACAGCACAGATTCTTGGAACAGCTCAATTCTGATGACAATCACGAAGAGCAGGTCCTTCTCCACCTCCTATGCCATGTCTTCTACCAACCACTTGAATGCCAAAAGACAGAGCCGGCAAGGTGAGTGGGCATCCGTGACTGTCAGGCTCACTGCAGCTGCTTCTGCGTGACTAGCACATGCAGCTGCTTTTGATCTCTGTCCAATCTGTGACTTTTCTAAAATACAGTTATTTTCTTTATTTAAAAAAAAAAAAACCAAACAACCTCAGTGGCTTAAAATAATATAGCTCATAGTGATCCTATTGTAAATGTTTTGACTTTTGTGATTTATAGACCTTAGTCATAATATGATGCAGCAAGTGTTGTGATTTATGTCCATGTAATTCCCTTTACTACAACAGGGCTGAGAACAAAGTGTTTTCTGTAACATTTGTTAGATTAACTATCTGTGTATTTTGCCTGACTGAGATTCCCTGAAGCACAACCTACATAATGCCATTTGGAGCTGTAGGCAGCAACTGACCCGTCTTACACAAACATATCCAAGACAAAACCATTATAACTTAGTGATCTATCTCTGTTGTATTTTCATTATTGAGAAAGTCCAGGTAGTTCTTACTGATTTTTAGAGATGAGAAATATGGGGCTTGTTACCCAGGTTTTTGAGCCTTTAAAAAATTACTCCAGTCTTAACTGAGGGAAAGAAATTGAGACGGTGACTTCTTAATTGATTATGAAATGTGCAATATGACAGCCATGAAGCAGCCTTAATCCACAGTAATGTCTTTCTCTTCCTTGTACAAATGCAGGATAAAGTAATGTTTACCCATTCTTTAACTTGCAGTTCAAAATGATCACAAGGCCTTCCTTTTTTAAATCAGCCCATGGAATACTTGAGATAATGTTACTCAGAGATACTGGCCACCCAGACGTCAAATGGAAATTGATAGGTGCCTGAGGCCTGACATTGGAAAAGTCAGAGAATACTAATTTAGAGATGGGTTTGAAGTATGGCTGCACAATTATTCTGCGTATCTAGCACTGTCACATCGCATCTCCTTTTCAAACTGAAGAGTTTATTTAGTCTCGTACAGAAGGTGCTTTGTTATACTGCAGTGAATATTAGGTAGCAAAATATTATCTTAAAAGGTAATAGGCACATAGACAAATGAACAAAATTGAATCAGGAAAATAATGGAAATAAAGAACTGAGTATCCAGGATTTTGTTTTTGAAAAAAACAAATCCAGTTTAAGACTTGTGATTTTTGGAGATTAACCCATTAATTTGAAGGGGGGGAGTTATAATATTTTGTACTTGGAAAACAAGACTTACCAACCCTGTCAGGAAATTTTGCCTTTAGTCTGTTCCGCTTCCAGAAAGTGTTAATAGTCGTCTCTCTTGCCTGAATACATGAAATCCCGTGTGGTGGAGAGCTCCATTCCATCACAATCAATTCCTAAGGGCACCAATTGACAGGAGTGAAAATTCTGGCTCAGCATTTTATTCAGAAGATTGATACTTTGTTGTTTTAGACTGTTTACTATCATGCATTTTTAATTATGAATTGTTTTTGTGTTCCAACTAAAGAAATGCATCAATTTGCAAGAACAATTGCTTCTAAACTTAATACAAATTAGACTTCTATATGTTAGCACAATTGGCAATATGTAATAATTCTTGGTAGAAGCTGATATAGCTAAACCTATAATCTGTTAATTTATAAAGTGTCTTCATGCATGAAAGCATTTTGAAATACTGCTAGCTATACTTCAGTAAAATTCTGAGATAAACTCAAGTGTTTTCATATGTAATTTCACATCACACTGAAGTTACTCTTTTATTTCTTCAACACTGCACATGTGTAAAAGTTCTGTAGGACCTACACAGATGGATGTACTTAAAAAAATTCTCCCTGTAGTGTTATTCTTCTCTTGATTGTTCCATATTCCCTGCTGTAGCAAGACACATTTTCTCTCACTTCTGCCAATAAATGGTTAAATGTTGGCTTATTGAAAATATGTTTGCATTTCTCCAGTAAATTTATTTGTTTTAGATTACCTACCCTGGCAATTACTTTAAAAAAAAAAAAAGTTACAAACAAACAAAAAACCCCCAGACAAACAGAAAAAACCTACACAACCAAAAATATTTCCAGAGATGTGAACCCAGACTAGCAGCAGAAAGCCAGCTGTGATTAGAAACATTACTGTGAAAATTGCTGTTTAAATTCCCAGGACTTGCTTTAAATTGTTGGAAGATGACCATATATATTGTATTCTCTAACAGTCATGAAGATTACCTGGTAATATATAGCTCAAAGATAGAAAATAATCCAACTCAATCCCCTGTGCAACTAGGAGACTGCTAGATGTTTTTAAAGACATATTTTCGTTGGATAGAAAGGAGGTATCTCAAAGGATCAGTAAATGCGAAACAGAGGCTTTGTGTATTTTAAAGCAATTTCCATATGTCATGGCCATCTGATAACTTTTGAATTGCTCTGTAGGCTGTAGGTTTCTGGTCTCAAGACTAGCTTAGTATCCTAGTTGCAGTCATTGAATTAAGACTGTAATACATACCACATTTGCTGAAGAAATACCCTAATCAAACTTAGGAGATCTCAAAATTACAGTGTATTAACTGCCAGAGATCATTTTTAACTCTTGATTTGTCAAGAGTAAATCATATCTTAACTTCATATCACAGAAAGTTGTTATCAGGAAAAAGCACTGGAAGTGTACATGTATATCCTGCAAGGTTAGGATTTCATAAACTTGTATCAACATATTGCCTTATTTTAAGATAATTTTTGTGCCTGGAATGCATTTAGATAGTGGGCACAACTCAAACATAAAACCAGTTAAAGTACGTAAGTTCTTTTTATCATTTGGCTTTGAAGATGAACATGCTAAATGAACCGGGGCTGAGTTCCTACAAACTTTTGAACAGGAAGTAAGTTAATTTGCATGCATTTCCTTTTAAAATAGATTATGTTTTCTTATCTGCACTTTATTTTGAATAGGACCTTTTTGTCTGAGATTAGAAAATGTAAATAGATTCAAAAAGAAGGCAGCACTTCATCTCAAACAGTGGACTAACTGATGCACTTCATCTTGGCGGTGATGCTTAGTTGAATAAGGGACAGAAAGAACTACATCTTGCTAATATTCACACATGTGGATATTGACAGTTTCTGATACACTAGCTTGGGACTACAATACTATGTGGTACAGGCAATAGTCACAAGTATCCCATAGCGAGCAACAGATAGTGAAGAATAAACTCAAGCTGCATGAGATCAAGGCTGAAATCTGTGAGGAATGCAGAAATGTCACCAGAAGTGCAATATTTTATATTCATATAATGTATGACTACTAACATTTGCTTTTTTGTTTTACTGCTGGTTTTCAAATGTGTAGAAATTAAAATTTGCTGGGAACATGCGTAAGCCTTTCTCGTCTCTCCTTTTCAGATGGAGACATTGAAGCACAGAGAAACTCCAGATGGGTCTGGAAACTGCCTATTTGGCAGTTTCTGTCACTAGAGCATGTTGATACCAATAGTCATGCCACTAATACATGCCTTTCATTTCATGCTTGCCAGTTAGTGCATCCTGCTCAACAGGGAGAATATGCTTCATATTTTGAGCCAAACCTTCAGCAGGTAGAAGAGGCTGATATTAACGGAGCTTCATCTCTCTGGGACAGCAGTGGGCTTGGCTGGGAGTGGAGGAGGGTTTTCTCTTTTTTTTCCGTTTGGAAGCTATGCTGGTACCCATGCGTCTCAAGAGGAGTATTTCTGCACAGTGAACTCATCCAACCATCTGCCACTTCTATTAATTGACAAGACGACTCTTTTCTCTTGCCAGGTATCCCACCAAATATTTCACCTTTATCCTCCCCATGCCATTCACCAATTCAGGGGACTCCTGCCACAAGTCCTACTGGAAAAACATCTTCTGTGTCATTTCCAGACTACGCTGATATTGACACCAAGCAAGGCTTAAAGCCACATAAAGTCTTAACTTCTACTCAGAGTGCCCCTAGCCTGTCAGACCCTATTATCAGTCCCTCTGTCATCTGCAGCAGGTAAGATAGTAATTTAACATACACTGGCATCATTTTGCGTTGCTCTCACGAACAAGTTCCTTTGGCCCACGTACAAGTTTTTGTGATATGCCACAGAATTGTGTATTGATATTTCGCTATATTTAAGCAGTTCTTAGTATATGAGTAACCATGTATTTTGATGCTGCAAGGTGCTTTTAAAGTGCAAGATGGTTAGCTACCTTTATAGCTTTTACTCATGTCAGATGCACAGTGTGATTCATAAATTCTTCATCAGTAGCTTACAGATCCCAAAGCTGGATTTCTCACAGCATGCCCTTAACATGAACAGTCACTTTCAGGTCACAGGCAAAATCTTTCACAGCAGGCACCTGATGTTTGATAGAAAAATCTAACTGGTAGGGTTTAAAAGCTGCTGGCTTGCAGCCTTCTGATAAAGGTGTGCCAACAGTGCCTGAAGACTACTGAATTTTGAGTGCTCTTTCAGAAGGAGAGGATCCTGTCCTCCCTAGGCAGAGTCAGATTATGTAGCACTGAGATTTATTAATTTTCTTTTTAGAAATCAACTGCATCGGAGTTCTTTCTGCAGTTATAATTTTGCACTTTAGAGTAGCCCATTATTAGATTACACAGACCTGCTCTGCAAAATCAGCATTTAGGAACGAAAGTTGTTCTGCTTATCTTCTCAAAAGGGATTCAGTTGCTAAATTAGGTTACTGCAGTATGTGTCCAGTTCAGAATAGTGGGATACACTGGTATTCAGAAGCCTGTTCCAGTGTAGTTTCAGGGTTACCTTACTCATTAGATGTTACTTCTATTCACAGTAGTGAGTGGTTTGTGATTATTGGCTAGCCAGTGGACAGCACATCATCTGAGGCTGGGTTAAATGTTACCAAGTTTGTCGGTCTTCAGAAATAGTTTCTCGTTTCTGGCTTTTGCCACATGACTGGATGTGTCTCAGTATGCTGGGCTATATAGTGGGTGTCAGAAAGTCAAAATTGAGACTGTGAGTTTGTTCGAGGGAGTCATTCCCACTAGAATTCAGTCCTGACAGGCTTTTAAGATGTATTTAGGTGACTAAATAGAAACTAAGCACTTTTGAATAAATAGAAACTATTAAAAGTTTTAAACTTCTAAAAAGAAACCTTTGAAAGTTTTCCAAAGACATTGCAAAACTGGGGACTTGCAGTGATTCATTCAAAATGAAAACTATATTACACATAAGAAAAATACCATAAATGTGCTACTATCTTATTAAACTGTGCCTTTATTACTACTTCAAGAAAATATTACTTTAGCTAGTAACAATTATCTCTGTAAGCCTTCTATTAAAAAGAACAGTTAACAGTTATATAAAAAATGTCAAAAAAAAAAAAGGCAATGTAAAGTTGCTGTAGATAGTTATGAAATATATTTACTTGTATGTGAGACTGATTTCAGTGTAATCATTGGTAAAATGCTTTTCAGCTTTTATGTGGCTGCTCTTTTGTGTGATCTGTGTAGGTTGCGTGGTGTATTTAGGTTCTTAATTTACTTTTTTCAAATGCTTAAGCTGTGTAGGCATTACAAGTAGTTACACTGCTTAGACTCACAGAAATTAAACGGCTAAGCAAGCCAAGAGAGTTAAATTAACAGAAACTGGAAATAAATCTTCCGATGTTTGAGCTTTCACATTGTAGATTGCTAGTCTTCATGGTATGCAATATGCAGTCCCCTACATTTACTGCCAAAACTGCCTTACTAGGAAATAATACTAAGTCAGCAAACCTCTGGCACTGCCAAACCAATCCCTTCCTCAACAACGGCAAAGGAGGAAATTAACTGCTGGTGGGTTCAGTGCTTTAAATCAGATCCACCCAGGCAGTGTCATCCAGACAGCAGGTTTACTGTACTTTTTTTTTCACTTGAGAAGTGAAATGTGGTAGGACAGCAGAGTTTGAAAACTGCATTAAAGAACATACACCAGGCAATGCTGTTAAAATAACTTATAAATAATAATTTTTAATTCTGCTTAGTGGATGAGGTGGGAATTCTGTGGAAAAAAAGTTAAACAATCCTGTATATTATGCCTGCGCATGAAGGGGATTGAGTTGAAGTTGCATGGGCACGTTTACTTCTGACAAAGAGCAGATTTCAAGTGCTCTACTAGGTAGCTCAGTAATTATTTTTTTTTAATATAGTGTTTTATGTGGACCATGCATATTAAATTGTTGTGAGTTTGCATATGTTCTGGAAATAAAGAGGTACGCTCATAATTGCGTAAAAGCCTTGTAGCATTACAACCAATCAAAGGTTCTCTTTCTCTTTTACTTTTTGGCTTGTTGGCTTTGACCTTATAGAAACCACAAGGAATGTGGGAGAGAGAAATGAATATTTTTTTTTTTTTTTCATCTTGTTCATAAAACTGAGTGATACAAGATTTATTTGCTTGGCTTTGTGCTACAGGTATCATTAGATACAGATTTGTATTTTTATTTAAATTCTTTCAGGAATTCATTACATTTCTAGGGCATACCAAGCTCCAGAATATGTTTTGGATGACCCAGTCAAAAGCCACCGGGAAAACCAAACCAGAGAAAGCAATGTTAAGGTGACAATTTTTCATAGACAGATTTGATATAATACTGCTGAGTGAGGCTTCAGATTTTTTAAGTTCTCTCATGTTTTCATGAGATGTCATGATACATTCAGGTCCTAGACTCAATCATCTTGGGTCCTTGTAATTTTAAATGTTCCAGCTGGTATTGAGTTCATGTTTAGGGTTTAAAGGGAATCACACACAAGGAATAAAGCATTTTAACAGGAGGGAAGAGCCAGTCCTTCGGAAAGGCCATGATACTGTGATCCCACCTACAATGTCTTTCTGTTCTGGGAATGATGAAGCAAACTCTCTTTTCTAGTTTCATTGCTAAATGTCTAAATGTCAGATCACTTGCCTTATGTTCTGTCCAAAAACCCATGTAGTACTGATGTACTTGGTATGTTGTCACTGAAGTAGTGGCAAAATACCTTCTTCCTTAAGAGGAACATATTCAAGTCTTAAGCAAGAAAAGGAGAGTAAAGCCACATGATGTCTGTAGTCAAATTGAATTACGTAAGATTTCATGGCACTCTGGCAAATTTTCATCATTTTAATTTGTGTTTATAGGACAGCTATAGTACAAAACCAGGGAATTTATATTTTCTGAACTGTGAAGCTTAAAGAATAAAAAATGCATTTTTAAAAAAAATCACATGGTATAGGTTTACCCTTGGTAACATGGATTTAATGGTGGTGGTGGCCAGTTAATCCAAGGTCTTTATATTTTCGGTTTTTACATTCCTAGCTTCCAGTAAACTACAGTTCAATCTTGTAATTTTGTCTGGAGAATGCACCGTGTACCGTAGCTTATACTGTATGACATAATCTTGCACTTGTCAGCAGGACGTAAGACTGTCTAACGTGCATTGGTTCTTTATCTTGTGCATGTTTCTTGATTTCAGCTGTGGCAGACCCTATAACCAAATAGAAGCCAGTGATGGGACACTAGATAGAAATGATGGTACCACACACACCCTGAACAGAACAGGTAATTTCTTTGTCCATCAAAAACTTCTCATCCTTTAAAATTCAGTAGTATATTCACCGAAAGGGCAGATATGCCAGTCTGTCATAAAAGGAGATCACACATAGGTAAGACCATGCAAATTGCCTTCGAGGCTTCTTTCCTTTTTTGTATGTACAACATGCAAAATGCTAATGAAGAACAGAGTTAAAATATAAAGGGAATGTGGTTTCTCTCATCTAACCTAGTCAGTTCAAATAACGGTCCTTAAAATTTTTCTCTCTTCAATCCCTGATTCCATTTTTCACACTCTGCAGGGTATATGCTTTAACACCTTTAGACAGATTGTCTGTCTTTGGACCCAGCCAAGCAGCACATATGTATTATGAGTCAGAGATCCTGTTGCCATTATTCAGAAGGTCACAGAATGACTTTGATGCAATCCTTGCTGTTCACACAACAAAGCTTGTGATTTGTTTTGTAGATGATCCTGCGCAAGCCACTTCTGACTATGAGACCAACAACAGTGATAGCAGTGATATCGTACAAAATGACGACGAGACGGATTGCTCCAAGGAGCAGACACGGAAGGGATCAGTCTGTAGGACGTATACACCTGAGACCATCATTCTGCATCCCTTGATACCACCTGAGGTAGCTTAAGTTCCACTCACACAATAGACGAAGGAGACGGGAGAAATAAAAAACAAACAAAAAATCCAAACCGCACCCAAAAAAACCTTAGAGTTGTCTAAAGATTGTGACATGGTTTTAAGCAACAATTGCAGCAGGCTTCTACCTTGCAGTAGGAGGACTGACTTTCAAGAATGGAAAGGAACCATTGAAATGTGTGACAGCTGCTAAGCACTGGCCACTTGTGAAACACTAACTGTCTATTTCAGTGAATAAATATAAGTTTATGGATCTGTCGTAAGGCATTTCTGAAATGTTTCTAACATTTCTCTGTTGGCCTGGCCTTTAAAGGGAATGGATTGGAAGGAAGAGAAATTCTCTTCTCAGACTACCAGCATGATATATAGTCTTCCTGTTCAGCGTTCTCAGTGGCCTTGCAATCTTAGTTTATATATATAATGATCCTTATTTTAACATACATTAATACTTGTCTGAGGTTGCTGCATGATATTATTGGTGGTGGATGTCTTGAACATAGTAACATTGCAGTAGGGTGAACAAGGGCTGATTTTCTCATGACTACTGTATTTAGCTGTAATCTTGATTGAGATGGAGAGGGAAAGCTTTGTTTAGTTAAATTTTCAACAGCCTGTTTCACAACTGAAATAATAACTTTGAGTTGGCTTATGCTCTTGAAAAAATTTATTGTAGTCTGTTGAATTGGAGTTGGACATGCTGAGAGAAGGCATTTTTCTTGAGATACTTTGGCATTTGCTCGTTTACAGTTTCTTAGTAATAATGAAATTCAATGAAGTATAGAGGGAGGAATGTGAAAGGAAGGGCACAACCCATCTTTTATTTGCAGACCTTGAAAAACAGGTAGGTTTCAGTTTAAGAAGTACAAGATTTCACTTGGTCTGAGCTCCATTAGCCATGTTAGATTGTAATGAATGCAGACATAGAAACTGAGCACTTTTCCCTCTGTACTGCAGCATATTTTCCAATGAAGAAAACAGACTCCTTTGGAAATGAATGAATGATTCCCATGAATGAACAAATGAATGTGTCTCATGGATAAGTTCAGAGACTGATGTTTCATACACATAAATTCCTATTCATTCAAGTGAAACAAATTATAAAGAAGAGTGACTAGCTGCAGGGCTGGTAGAAATGGGGACATCTCCACTGAGCTGAGCAAAGTACCATCAACTTTCAGAAGATGCTAATGTGACCTTAGTTTTTAAGAGCATAAGTTTTTGCATGAGATGCTTCACAGAACTAAAATTCCTCTTTATTCTGATTTCTGGAATAGGACAAGCCTGTACTTGCTCCAGAGCCTCTGGTTATGGACAACTTGGATCCCCTGATGGAGCAGCTAAATAGTTGGAACTTCCCAATCTTTGATTTGGTGGAAAAAATCGGAAAGAAATGTGGTCGGATTCTCAGTCAGGTGAGAAGGATATCTTGTCTGCAGAGACTGGCTAGATTATTCACAGATTTAGACAAAGTAGTGTTACAAGCTGGTCATCCCATGAATTGTGATCCCTGCCACCTAATTCAAAACTGACAATATGAACTTTGTCTCATTACACTCCTTACTTTTAAATTTATATATTTTTAAATTTAAAAATGTGATAGAAAAAAACACGTGTATTTTTCCTGGTTCTCTCTGCCAATGAGTTTACATAAACCTTTCTGAATATTCTCTTTTACCTGCAGGAGGTGCTGCCACCCTCTATTGAATTTTTGTGAAAGGATTTCTCATGGGTTTCAGCATGGGAGGGCTAAACCGTAAATACATTCAGTTGATGGAGGAAAAACAAAAATTCGGTACCTTTTTTATACTGGAGATTTCAGTCAGGCCGTGCAAGAAAGAAAGGTTTTTAAGAAGTGGGGATGAAAATAGTCCTTGCTATATTCCGTCACCTTTAGAGAGTCAGCACTTTAATAGTAAATTCGTATCATTATTACATTGGGAAGACTAATTTACTGTGAATCAGGATGTGAGAGCTTTCTAGTCTTTCTTTCAACTGTTGTTTTTTCATTCCCTCCTGTAAGTTGAATGCAGGTGCTGACCAAGCCCATGTCTACCCAACACAACGTCACTTTCGTAACCACTTTCTTGGCTGAACTTTCTACTTTGTTATGCCCCTTTTCCTGGCACACTGACAAATCAGCCTCTTTTTCTTACAAAATATTAAGGTTTATCAAACAGGAAAGACAAGTAATTATTATTATTTAGGGATGGAAGAGGGGAAAAAAACCAAAACCAAAGCAACAACAGAATCTGACCGATCTAGTATCACTTTCCAAGGCATTATGTAGTGATGAGTACTGGAAAGAAGAGATTATGTTAATTGATATAATGTGGGACAATTAACACCCCCTACAAACACAGAGGTTAGTCTGTCACACAGATCTCAGTGCAACAAGCTCCAGACAATGCTATATCAAATCTTGGCCTTTTGATGGTTAACTATTATTCAGCTAGATTCAATTATCCAGTGGTCAACCAAGAAAACCAAAGCATGAATTCACATTTATCCTGTGGTCTGTCTTTTATTGTTCTGTAGCTTGGCAAGTAACATCTGTGTTTAACCAGCCTGCCAGCTCTCTAGGTTGATTTTAGAGAAATACGCAAACTATGGCTGGATGTGGATATTGATATAAATTCAGAGATAATTATTGAAACACTTGCATTCAATAGTGAGCATTAGATAGATAGTGATTAAAATGATTTTCTAGAGCATATTTGTCTTATTGTTTTCTAACAGCACAGAATGAAAAATTAAACATAAGGAAGAAGAGAACTCTTTATTTAATGGCATATCCAACAGTTTGGATGACCAAAACTTGTTCTGGTTTTACATGGATACCTCTATATGTTTTAAGCACTTTGCCAAGTTGCATAGAGTTCTGTACCTCCCAGGACAGTTCCCCTTTGCCTCCCTCAATTTTCACTAAAGTTCCATACTCTGATTCCCAACATCTGCTTTTTGCACAGCTTCTGAGCATGTTACCCAGTTTGCAGTGCTACAAAATGAGGCCTGTGAGATAAAATAGGGAAGCTTTAATAGATAGTATTTGTGATCAAAATTCAACATTTTTTGTAACAGCTGCTTGTAATAACTCCCACTCCCTAAGCGCAAAATGTGTAAGTTCAACTTTGTTCATGAAGTAAAGATAGATCCTTTAGTTCTTTCCCCACCTACTCAGATGCTCTGAACAGAATTATTTTCAGAAATAAGAGAACGAAAATAATAAATCTTCTTTTTTTTTTCCCCAGCCAAAAATATTGTCTTTTTCTTGTATAATTGTTAAATCCTGGGATATTGTAAACAAAGGAAAACAAAAGCCCTAATGATTTATTCTCTGTATTTTGCCATTAAATGGACTCATCCATTAAAAATAAGTAAATTAACAAGCTGAATTAACTATGTTTGCCTTGCTAGCTTAAATTTATGAGATGGAACAAAGCAGAGCTGACAACGTGCCTCTAGGGAAGCATTCAGTTTAGAAAGCAAATGCTGGCTTAACATCTTCAAAGCTGCTTGAGATGTCTGTTTCTTCTTTCTGGAATGTTAAATTGATTGAGACGTATAAAAAGACCCCAAACCAGTCAGCGGCCATAAAGGCATCTGTGCAAAGTACAGTGGCAAGCACTTTAAATGTGGCACTAACAAATATGCATGATGGGAGTTAGAGAGCAATTTACATACCAGTCTCATTTCAGAAAGGAACAGCAGAGCTTTGAACTGGGTTGATGCTTCACAGCAGGTCATATAGTTAGATAATGTCTTCAGTTGCACTTAACGCTTTCCTTAAAGCTCCTGTAAAACTAAAACCTGTGGAAGAGAAACTCATTTGCCTTGGAAAGCAAATAAAATGAAAAAGAATAGGCTGAAGTCAAAGTGTCTCTCTAGCATTTATTCCTGGGCCCATAGAAACGAGAAACGCTGGTGGTGCTCCTGTGCTCTCGATACATGAACAGCATTGAGGCAGGATGACATCATTCCTGTGTGTGTTGTGAGTTGTCCCTGGGTGGTGCCAAGAAGAATGTTTGGTCATCTCCTAATCCTGCACGGCTTGTGCAGAGGGAAACTGCAGCCATTAAATGAAGGAGCAAAGGAAATCAATCCTTGGGGAATGGGATGTTCCCGGCATCATCACAGCGGCCTTTATGAGGAGTTGTGCTTGTCAGAGCCAGAGACTGCAACTTAGAAGAAACATATGTTTGAAGAAAGCAAATACAAGAGAACAGAAGTGCAAAAGGGTTGCCTGTGAACAACGAGTAGGGAACTGCTAACCTAAACTTTGCACGTGTCCTCCAACGAGAGCCATTTATGTGTGCCTACAACACCCAGGAAAGGAGCTACATGTGAATAATGATCCCCATTTCCAAAGCAGCTTCCATTAAAAATCATTCAAGAGAAATGCTTGTCCTTCTTCAGGTGTCACCACCAGAAGTATATGAGTTATAAATGACTCATTCAAGCATGAGCAATCATTGCAGAGACAAGCTGAATATGGAGGCTGGAGGCAAGAGGCAGTGTGGAGCACCTACTACCAAGCTCCTGGCAGCCCTTGAAGATTCCCTGGGCTTGTCCCTGTCAGCAGGGACCACACTGTGGCTGCAAGGGTGTCATGCTCAGCCCATGGGATTCTAAAGCTCAGTGAAGCAGTATGTGGTTTGGGAAGGAAGGATTTTAAAAGACAGGAGCATTTAAAAATGGTTAATGCAGAGCAATGAGTAAACAAAACTGTGCATTTTGTCTTTCTCGGTTTTGGTTTGGTTTTTTTTTTTTTTTTCCCCCAAATGAAAGAATTTGGTTAGTTGATTTTCTGGAAGACATCAATGCCCTTTTTCTCTCTTTCTGATCTTCCCTTATCCCTTACTCGTCCCCATTTGCTAAGAAAGAGATAAAGAAAGAAAATATTGCAAGAATGTCAAAATGACCTGTTTGGCTGTTTATTCTTTCTAATGATCACAGAGTATAATGTCATTTTACTCCAAGTCAGGGGGGAGAGCTATCGTTCATATCCATCACAGTCAGCTTCGCTTGTTTTCAACTGCTGTGGAATTTCCCACCCCCCAAAATACAAGAGGAGGAAAAACATGCTTTTATAACATTCTTTATGTAAGATACCTGTCTAGTATTGGTAGGGTAGACCAGTAAAGTTTGGTTCTGCAGAACAGTATTTCTTAATGCTTCCTCTTTTAACAGAGATATTTTGCTGGAAATAGGAAGTTTACCATTCAGTGATCTAAGACTAGAGTGTAAAATAACGTGATTCCAGATAGATAAAATTCCATGCAATTTCTAATCCAAATTATGCATAAGGTCAGCCTCTGCCTCAGTACAGGAGGATCCCATGGGATTTTCAGAGAGTAAAGTTTTGCCTTCTACAGGCTCTACTTTTTTTTTAACCCTACTTTGTGTCTTCCAGAGCGCTGTAATTCAGTACTTCCTTAGCTCCTTTGTTATAAAGAGCTTTTCACTTTATAAGCAACACCCATGGCCACAAAGAGAAATTGCCACCAGCAGTGATCTTTGTGTGCATTGCTAGTGGCACTTATACAATTGTGGTAGGAACAGAAGTAAGAGCTGTGGCCATCAGCAGAACCCCAGCTGTCAAATGTGTCATCAGGCATCCTGGATAGTGTGAGACATGACACTCAGCCTGTCTCTGCATCATCACTACCTGTTGCAGTGCTTTGCTGGAGTTTGTCACATGCAGATTTTACCTGGTAGGCAATGACTAGGCAGGGGAAGATCATTCATTAATGCTGCAAATTCATAACCTCTTTTATTGTTCTTACTGTAAAAATCCACAGTGGCAGGACATTTGAAGTTTATGTCATTAAACTTTAGGTGCAGCTCACAGGTCCCAATTTATATAAATGATATTCAGAAAGAAATGTATATACACAACATACAGAAAGAAACCAAGGCCAGGTTGGATGGGGCTTTGAGCAAACTGCTCTAGTGGAAGGTGTCCCTGCCCATGGCAGGGGGGTTGGAAACAGATGAGCTTTCAAGTCCCTTCCAACCCAAACCATTCTGTGATTCTATGAAAGAAGTGGGTGTGGATAGCTGTTTGATCTACACTTGGGTGTAAACCACAAAATATAATTTGTAAAAATTTCTTATTGCTATAGCATTCACCATTCCAAATGTGCTTCAATTTGCTTAGCTTTAGGCAGATCATTACCAGACAGATGGCATCAAAAGGACAGAATTTAGCTAACAGCAGTAAATAAATAAAGAAGCTGAAAGGCTTTAGGGTCCAATTTGTGAACAAAGTGAAAAGGTCAGGCAGTAAATTTACTGTGTCCCATTGTTCCGTATGTCACATTCAAACTCGTCTTCAAAAGTGTCCATTTTGCAGCAGTTTCTGTATATATTTCTGAGCACTTGTCCCCCTGAACGACCCCCTACTCATCCATCACATTCTCCCTTCTAGTATAACTTCTCCTGGATGTCTACAGTCATCTTTCCATGCAGGAACACTTGGAGCAGCTCTGCTTCCTAAGCTGCTTGCTGCCTTTGGAATCCTTTTGGAGAAGTCACTTTTGTCATTTCATTTCCAAAATAGGGGAGAGAGAAAGGAGATAATGCATAGGATTCAAATGGGTCTCTCCTTTTATCATTCCTTCACGTGTTCTTGCTTTTTCTGGGAATTGATTTGATTCATGGATTCTCCTTGGAATTTTTCCAAAAACATTAAAGACCTCTGGACATTTTCCTTTATGTGTGTGTGTTTCTGAGGTGTTTGCAAAATTTGGGGGATCCATATACCTGACAGGATAAGAACATCTGCAATGGTGTAGCAAAGGAATGAGGACTTTTTGGTACTAATAGGTTTTCTGTTTGGCTGTGTAGCCACATCCCTATGGAAATGCAAATAGCCGCAGCTATACATGGATCAGAAAGCAGGTTTTCATGAGATAATTCAAGAGAATGATTTTTATTAGAGATTTTCTGGCCTACTTAGCAGCATGGTTGTTCTGGTTTTTCAGGTATCATACAGGCTATTTGAAGACATGGGGCTGTTTGAAACCTTTAAAATACCAGTGAGGGAATTTATGAACTACTTTCATGCCTTGGAATGTGGATACCGAGAGATACCTTGTAAGTAAAAATTCCCAGCAGATAACAATGCTTCCTTAAAGTTTGGGGTATTTTCCACACTCTGTTATTGAAGCCTTTCTTCTCTCATTATAACAGCTACTTTTTTTCTTCTGGTACATCACGCCAAATGGATGGCTCTCTACTGGGAAGCTGGTGCTGAACCACAGCCTCTCATGTTTTTCTCATTGCATTTAATGTTTCATGTTGTTCCGTAGCAATTCATGGCAAATTCTGTGCAAGCCTAAAACTGTATAAAGCTACTATAAGTACAAAGAACTGTTTGCTGATGATGCAAGTGTACCCCAGTGCCCCAATTGGAGTTTACTGAAACATTCCCCCCCCCAAGCAATTTGGATTTTTACAAAGTTGCTGTGCTACGCCACCAAAGGAGATGAGCTTTGTAAAGCAGAAAAAATATGCCAAGTAGATGAGTGCAGCTACAGCACAGCTGATATTTTTCAGTGTGAATCATTCATTCACTGAAAAACCTGCTTATTCAAATCAAATTTACCAAACCACTTCAACTGCAAAAGTCTCTTTTTTCCATGAGGAGGGAGGGAGTTACTATCCCCTTTAGCTGGTAGATAACCTCAACGCTGAGGAATATAGGACACCCTGTTTCCTCCCACCTCCCAGGAAAATGTCTGAAACACTGGTTTAATAAATCAGATAGTCTCTCTCTCAAAATATTAAATATCAATTGGAACATCTATGGTGGAAGGGATTGAAGGAAAGCTACCTGAAAGTTCCTCCCAGTCGGGTAGGTTGGACTCTCTTCTGGGAAAATGAGAAACCAAATTTCAAATTTTTCCTTGTGTTTGAACCAGGTTGTGGATTTGAAGCAGCAGACTATAGCCTGAAGGGGTTAGAGGTGGATGTCCCATGGTTGGTCTGTCCTACTGGAGCCATAGAGTCTCAGGATTTTTTTAGCCCTTCATTACATTGGCTTTTCTTAAGCGTGTTTTGGTTTAGTAAAGCAGAATATTTTGTTTCATTAAAAAAAAAATAGATTGCCTTCCAGTTTTTCATTTCTGTGAAGAGGTAAAAACCAAAACAACTTGTTTGGACTTAACCACTTCTTTCTTCTGGTTGCTGAACTGAAAAAAGGGTTATTCACTCAAAATTCGTGGTGACTATCCCAGTTGGATTAAATCAGTACAAGTTTCACAAGAGGCTAATCCAGCCTTTACTCCTGAGAAAAGCATTAGACCCCTGTGCGGGGCCATCCCCTAGGTTTTGCATGAAGGAGATTAGTGTCTCAGGAGAGATGTTCTTAGTACTTTGAGGAAGGCAAGGGAGAGGTGGGTCCTTCCTTATTTTGCTTTCTTCTTTCCAAAAATAATAGGCAGCCTTAGGGTGAAGTTCAGTGTCAGTGCTGAGAAACCTTCCATCTGTTGCACACTGCCTATCTTTAGGATGCAGCAGGTATAAAACCAGGTTGTTTACACTTCTTGCAGCCAATCCCTTCTACTCCCCCAGAGTAGAGGGGTTTTTCCGCCATTAATGAATCTGGTCAACTTTACGTATTATTTCTTACAGGGGACTTCTGGACTTGTGTGTTAGTAATTTTTCCACATGTCATCTCCAGTGTTATACTGATTCTTGACCATGCTCTTAATATAACCTAGTTCTTCACCCACTCCTATCAAGCCTGTTGTAGCAGTTGGTTTACCAATAAGACACATGATTGATGGCGTTACCAAGGTGTCTCCAACTAAGATGAGTAATTATCTAGAGATGTAGCCAGTTATTGTGAGTTTGTGAGATGGGAGTGACACAGCAGTGGAATCCCACATTTTTGTGGTTTGTCCTCTGAAATACATCTTTCCAGAACTGAAGCAGCAGTAATGTGGCCATAGGTTATCATTCTGATTAGCAGATTTCTCGGTGTTTGCCTAGTCACTGTAGAAAATACCTGTGCTCTGCCCAAAATTAGCCTGAATCACAAGCTGAGCTGCTTGTCCGTTGGTGATTTAACCCGAAGTGCAAACTTTGGTCCCGGTGCAGCAAAGCATTAATGCCCTCTTTCAGCATCATGGTTGCTTTTTGCTAGTGTACGTTTAGATCATGCTTTGTGCATGTGATTCTTTTCCAGCCAGTTGTGTTAGTTGTGGAATAGTTTATCTGGCCTTGTAGGATTTGGTGTTATGAGCCCCGGAGTGACTTTTATCTCATTTCTGCAAAGAGAGCTTGTGAGATTTCAAGAACCAGGGCTGTAACTCTTACCTCTGGCCAGAAAACCACAGAAAGAATCTGATTTAACTGTGCAGTGTACACCTATCCTGAATTTGACTTTTTTGCAATGCAGCTGCTAGCACAGCACTCAAATTTGCTCAGGTAAAGTCAGGTAAGTGTTACCTGCTTTGTATTTAGAAGCTAGGTGAAATCTTGACTACTGAAGTGGGTGAGATTTTCCCACTGATTTCATTTGTATCAGAGATTAGCAGTGCATACTTACCTGGTGGAATTTAAGAAGCTAAAGGCAACCACTAGAGTAAAAGATTGGAGCTAGTAGCACAGGCAGATCCCGCTGCTTGTCTGCTGTTTTCTCTTTCTTGACTGGTGTAAGACATACCATTGAATGTGCTTCAACTTTAGTGAAAGAAAACTGAGCATTTACAGAATACAGCTGTTTTTCATGCTTCTGATGTTTGTCTCCCCTCGATTGACTGCCATGCAGTACCCACTAGATGGTGCTGATTTCCCTCTGTCGGAAATCAGTTTACTAGCAGGGTCATTTGCTTTGTATCACAGATCACAACCGAATCCATGCAACTGATGTCCTACATGCCGTTTGGTACCTTACTACCCAGCCCATTCCAGGACTCCCAACTGTGATTAATGATCATGGGTCAGCAAGCGATTCAGGTATATTTAAATGTGCAAGTGTATATGTTGTATTTTTAGAGTTTTTTGTCCTCAGATTTGGTGTAAGAAAGCCAACAGTTGAGGATTGCATACAGTATTTGTTATTAGATAGACTTTTAAGTTCAGTAGTAACTTGGATGCTGAAGATGTTAAGGTATGTTTATGTAACTTTGAATTGGTCCTCCAAAACCTAATACTTTACATTTAACAATGTGTGAATGCAAAGCCTTGTGATATGCATTGCAGTTTATTTGTAATGGGTGCTACAGTTTGTTGCAGTTTGATTTTTACAATAGCTTTTTTCCTAGGAAAAGTGTATTGGTAGTGCTTTTCAATGCTGCTTCAGAAGCAGAGTAATCTTAAATCCTCAAACCCTGCATTGTTTTACTATTACAAAATCTCTGAGGCACGCAGCATTACCGCTACTTGGCTGTCATGAAGTGTTCCTTTGCCTTTCTCACTGTCTCCAAAGAAAGAGACTTGTTACCCTTTGACAACCAGTTTGCAAGACCACTCATCTGCTGTTTTATGTTTGTTCCTTACAAGAAGCTGTTCTTATTACATTTTTATATTAACTTATCCAGGTTCAGCTGTAGCAACTAGAGGACCTTGCCATATTTTGTGGGAGTTCTGAAGGAAACCTCTTCCATTTCTGCTTTTTTTTTTTTTTGGTAGTGTTTTTGTGGCACAAATCATTTGTTAAAATCTTGAGGGTATTTTTGTGGGGTGGGAAACATTTTTATTCCTGGAAAACTTTATTAGCAAGGGTTGTTGGAGGCTTTTTAAGTGAGACGAAATAGGTGGAATGAAAGGGGGTGAGTTCTGCGGCTTTTTGGTGTTTGTTATTTTAAAGACTTTGTTCAGGTGCATGTAAGATCCATTCAAGCAGATTAAATTATCAAAACATCTCACTATCTGCCTCTGACAGGCATGTTCAAGCTGCTTGAAACAGAGGAGGATTATCAGCAAAGATCCAAAGTCTAGACCTGTAGATTAGAAAATGTGAGCTGTAATTGAATTAATAAATGCAAGTCCATTGTTTTAAGTAAGGACTGTTAGTGTCTCATAGACTAATCTATATGGTGAAGCAATTAGACGAAGGAGTGAGATGATCAAGTTACCCACAAAGCTCCAGCATGGCCATGAATCCATGGCTTATGGATCATGTGCACAGTATCAGAAAACACTGAGGTCAGGATGTGTTTATTCTTCTATTATGTATGGTAAATTTGTTCCTTCTCTTTCTGCATTGTCGCTTCTATAATTTTCAATAAATCACTGAAAAAGTTGTAAGGATTATTTTTTTTCCCCAATTTTTTTTATTTCTGCTCAGATTCCGACAGTGGAATCACTCATGGCCATATGGGTTATGTGTTTTCGAAGACATACACACCTACAGATGACAGCTACGGATGCCTGGCTGGCAACATCCCTGCCCTTGAATTGATGGCTCTTTATGTAGCTGCAGCCATGCATGATTATGATCATCCAGGAAGGACCAATGCCTTTTTGGTAGCAACAAGTGCTCCTCAGGTAAATAAGTCTCAAGCAGTGTTGCTGTTAAGTATGGAAGATCTTCGGTAGCAGCTTCTCCTTGTCAGTGGCGCCTTGTGGCTTACATTAAGCACAAGTGTACCAAATATTTTGAAACAGCTTATCAAAGTGAACAGAAAAAACACTTCACGTAGGGATTGCCAGTAAGAGTCTTCTTGCCCACCCTCATGACCTTAAGTTAGAAGAACTGTGTCCTGGGTTCAGCTACAGCAGTCATTTTTTCTCCTTCTCAGTAGCTGGTGCAGTGCTGTGGTTTTGACTTTCAGTCTGAGAACAACGCTGATAACACCGATGTTTTTAGTTGTTGCTCAGTAATGTTTACTCTGACCAAGGACTTTCTCAGTCTCATGCTTTGCCAGAGAGGAGGGGAAGCCGGGAGGAAGCAGAGACAGGACACCTGACCCAAACTGGCCAAAGGGGTATTCCATACCACAGCACGTATAGAAACTGGGGGGAGTTACCCGGAAGGCCCAGATCGCTGCTCGGGTCGGGCTGGGTATCGGTCGGCGGGTGGTGAGCGGTTGTGTCCTTTTCCCTTGTTACTCCTCTTATCATTGGTAGCAGTAGTGGTTTGTATTATACCTTAGTTACTGGAGAGCTGTTATCTCAACCCATGGGAGTTACATTCCTTCGATTCTCCTCCCCATCCCTCCGGGAGAAAAAGGGGGAGGGAGGGAGCGAGCGGCTGCGTGGTTCCAAGTTGCCGGCTGGGCTTAAACCACGACAAGCTGTTAAGAAAGGTGCTGATAAAATGTCTTAGCAAGGAAGCAGCTAACACTCTGCTGACTGATGGAGAATCTGTATCTAGAAATAAAGGAAGATTTAGTCTACCCAGTAAGGAACAGAAAGATTAAAATGTAATTAAAAAAACCAAACCATGTATAGTTAACAGTGCATCATGCAAGTTAGTTTATGCATGACTGTAACATATTTTCTGTTGTTCCTATAGAATATGAGCAGCTGCAAGTCTTTTATGAATGTATTTTTACACTATGCATCTATCAGGGCAGGAGTATATGTGGAAATTAATCTCAGTTTTGTGAATGAAGAGTTGAGATTTATCTAAGGTTACACAGAAGCCAGCGCTGGGAGTTGGAATTCAGCAATTCTGAGTCACTGTTTATCAGCTTAAATGAGAGATCATCTTTCCTAACTTTATATACTTTATGAAGCCTGCCTGGCTTCAGCGTACTGTGCTGAAAAAGCAAGAATACCATATTGCCATTACTGTGAGAGTTATGCATCTTATTTTGGTAAAGATTTAACCAGTTTTGGATGTTAGCATTGTGTCAGGCTGAGTATGTGTTGCCAGGTCGCAAACTGGAATTGAACTTACTTCTGTGTTTGGATTCAGTCTAGTATGGACACACTTGCAAGGTACAAACACCAAAGACAATAATCCCTGTTAAGTGAGGTTAAAATTGGGGAAGCACACACCTATATTACGTTAGTCATTAATTTGTGGCATGAAACAGAATAATCTCTTGACACATGATGCAGTTCAGTCAGGAACTGAAAACCCTTGAGCATGAAAGACCCAGAGTTTTCAAATCAATCTTCCAATAAATCTTCACTATCACAATAGTTCAGCTGTCTGCTATTAGCCCTGCCAAAATCACATCTTCAAACCTTGAGAAGTTCTTTAAAAAAAAAAACCAAACACACAACCAACCTGAACCTCCCTCATGTGTCATCCCCATGTCATTATCATTTCTGCATTGCAGTGTTTCTTTTGCTAAGAGGTTTCTCAGTTTTCAGCTGCCCCTATTGCTTTCACAGGCAGTGCTGTACAATGACCGTTCTGTCCTGGAGAACCACCACGCTGCTGCTGCCTGGAACCTCTTCATGTCAAGGCCAGAGTACAACTTCCTGGTCAATCTCGACCATGTGGAGTTCAAGCATTTCCGCTTCCTTGTCATTGAGGCCATTTTGGCTACTGACCTGAAGAAACACTTTGATTTTGTTGCCAAATTCAATGCCAAGGTAAGAAGATTGGTTCAGCTTTCTGGTGGATAGTCAGAAGAGATTGCAGGTCTTGGTAGCACCATAGTGAAAAGGCTAGAAAGACTGTTGGGTTGCTCTTCCTTCTAAATGTCCTTTTGGCTGCTATAAAACACTCTGTTGAATAGTAATACAGCTGTTATTTTTTACTTGATTTAGTAGTACAGATTCTTTTCTTATATATGTTTTATTTTTTTCAGAAAGCAGTTTAAGGCTAAGGATATTACGGACTATTTGAATATAAATCCCACTTACATCCGACTTCTCAACCTTGTTTTCTTGTTCAATGGCACTTTAGACCTATTAGCAAAGCACTTGGGAAAAAAATCAAAGGTGTTGCCAAGTTTCCATAATGGCTAAATACTTAATGTGAATTTCTATTGGTTTAATTATACTGTTACATTATCAAAGCACAGAAATAATAACAATTTTTTAATTCTAATTTCAAATGCTGTGAAAGCATGATCTCTCTGTCCTACTTTGTTTCAAATGGGTAACCCCCAAAAAAAGGTGATTAAGGATCTTTCCTGCATGTTCCATTCAGCAAATATAAAATTACAGCCCTGGGAAATCATTCTTGAAAGTTATTGTACAGTTTCAACCTAAGTTGCTGGAAATCACCACCTATCAAGTTACTTTAATAAACTCCATCATTCTTCAAAGCTGTTGGCATGTTACCTAGATGATACCTGTCTTTGGAGCTGGTACTGCCTTCTTGTTCCTTGTGAGAAACAGATCAAGCACAGCATTTTTCTCATCCAGGAGTAGGACCTCCTAGCTGGTTTGGTGACATGAAATGTTTTCTTGTGATACTGCTTGGGGTGGGCGTGCATCCTGAAATTTTGAAGCCTCCAGTTGTATGAGTGGTTTTGTTTTCCATTTCCCTTTAACATATCTCTCTTTGTTAGGCTTTAAGAAGCTGTAAACAAATGCCTTAAATTGTGGTCCATGGCAGACAGAGAACTGATCTGTAGATACGTAAAAGACTGAACTCCTTCTGCATCCCTCCTAGTCATGTCCCAAGACCTCCAGTAGTATCAGGGAGGTTTCTTTAGGTCTTAAATTTTAAGCTCTGGGACCATTTTCACCAGCCTAATTTCCTCATGAAGTATTGAACAGATTTGGCAGATTCTTATCTCTCAGGGCTATGATGACAATAAAGCATGAAGAATTTAGGCTGTCTGAATATATCATTTGAATTCAACAGTTTGGACCAAAGCCTTCACTTATGTGAAGATAAGTGAGGAATGAAGATAGGCTAAACCAAGTGATTACTGCGGCATTGTCACAGAGACTGTCTCAACTGTGGAAGAGGACAAGCTTGACCAAAGTATTAGGTGTAAATTGTGGATATTGAAAACTAAATTTATCTTATATCTATCAGGCTGGAAAACAGTAGGTATAATCACTGTTGTAACCAAGCAAGGTGATACATGAGACACTGCAGATAAATGGGAGAACAATCTGATGTATCATATCCTGCCAGCTCTCAGTAGATTTGTAAAGACATTTGTTCACCTCCTTCTCTCTCCTTATTACTTGCATACTCAAATAGTCATGCATGGAATAAAAAGTGGAGAAGGTGAGCATATTAACCAGTGCTTGTGGCTGAGCCTTGCTTTCCCAGAGTAATCACTGCCTTAAAAATAAATTATTTACATTTGGTTGGCAAAAAACTCTTTTGTAGCAGAGTTCTCAGATAGCAGACACAACACATTCATTTATGGGTGGAAGTGCTATAACTGATGAAATTAGCTCTAAATGATCATATTATTGATTGGGTTGAGTATATCGAGGCTACACTCAGAGACCCTTCTGTTCAGAAGTCAGCATAATGTAAGCATCCTCCCAGCAGAAAACTTGGGAGTCTGGAAAGTGCCAACAAGAAATAATGAAGGAAGCTCACTGTCCAAGACTTAGATGATACCAATGCATTGGAGCACTTACTGTTCCTTGACCTTACTTAGGTTGGATCGTGTACACAGAATCAAAGGTCTCACCATATGGGCCCACTGCTGTCTGGCGCAGGGGACATGCTGACAGAGGATATGGAAGTTTCATCTAGTCATAGCACGACAACTTTCTATCCATTTTCAACTACTGCTTGACAATTAAAGCTGTGTTTCATGAAGGGATTTGAATTTCAAAAATCAAATGACCAATAGAAGACAGCCCATCCTACACCAGGAGATATTCTAGAAGAAAAGGCTAAGATAGGAAAACGTGGCTAACAGCAGTAAAGGGTGCTACTGCTGGCCATTTGGAGACGTAAAAGGCTGAAATCCTCAATTCTTTTTCAGCCTCCGTCTTTGTGGCTAAGACCTGGCTTCAGAAATCCCAGGCCCCTGAGTTGTGAGAGAAAGTCTAAAATGCTTAAGGCTTTATCCTCAGTGATTGACATCAGGTTAGGGAGCCCTTAAACAAACTGGATGTACACAAGTCTGTGGGATCTGATGGGAAGTAGCTATGTGTATAAATACCTGATGGGGATAGTAAGGCAGATGGAGCCAGACTTTTCTCAGTGGTACCTGGTGACAGGATGAGAGACAACGGACACAAGCTGAAATACAGGAATCCCCATTTAAAAACAAGAAAGGATGGGGGTTGTCCATTGGAAGAGGTTGCCCAGAGAGGTTGTGGAGCTTCCCTTCTTAGAGATCTCAGAATTGTATTGGACACGATCCTGAGCAGCCTGCGTTAGCTGACCCTGCCTTTAGCAGGGGAGCTGGACTAGATGATCTCCAAAGGTGCCTTCCAACCTCAACCTTTCTGCAGTTCTTTAACGTGATGCTTTTATATTAGAGCAGATAGTAGTATATATACCTTTTATTGTGGGACATGTGGGAAAAACAGAGAAAAGGAAAGAGATAGGGAATACTTGCAGACATACTTAGATCAAATAGGGAAATAGGCTTGTTACATGTGTCTTCACCCTGCAACTAAATCACCATGGCATTTGATGGTAATTTTTCTTTGAACACCAATTAGGTAATAACTTACTGGAAAATGTCATGGGAAGATTGCATTTGTTTGTTTTCCAAGCAAAGGCTTTCAAACAGACACATCATTTGCTAAATATTAATTTCTCATCATTTATCTCAATGTTCATTGTTTTTCACATTTTATTTTTTTTTTTTTACATATTGCTCTACAGCTGATTTTAAATTCCAACCTTGGATTAGTTCATCTGCTTACACTTGTGATTTTGTTGCACAGCTAAATATGCTGTAAGGTATCCCAGGGCAGAACTTCTGTGGATGCGTCCTTTCACCCAGGATTATTGGCAAGGTTCTCCTTTTTCTGTCTACTAGGTGAACGATGACGTTGGAATTGACTGGACTAATGAGAACGACCGCTTGCTGGTTTGTCAGATGTGCATCAAACTGGCTGACATAAATGGGCCTGCAAAATGCAAAGATTTGCATCTGCAATGGACAGAAGGCATTGTCAATGAGTTTTACGAACAGGTAAATAAATGCATTTCCAAAGTGGTATCTGCTGGTTGCATGTCTTGTGTTAAACAGTCCTGCAGTGTGCAGGTGAGTGAAAATCACAGCGAATAGGGATGAAGGGGATGGCTACCCTAGTCCATTCTTTTGCTGGATCAGTGAAGCCAATTTGTCATTGATGCTTCTGATATGTCCTCAAAGACCTTTTATGATGAGGTTTCTACAGGCTTAACTGTTCCCCTATGGCACTACCCTTACAGTGGACATGGTGAACAAGTGTTCCTTTCCTCTCTTTTTTTCTGTTTGCAGTGATAATGTCTCCCTTTCAGTCATCTTTCATGCAAACTATGTTTTCATCCTTTCTTCTTTTCAAGACATCAGCTCGTTCTCATTGCTTTCCTCTGCAGTCACTCCAGGTGGCTCTCACATTTGTTGATGTGTGGACTCCAAAACTGGACTCAACATCATTGTTGAGGTGATCTAAACAGAGCAGAGGAATTATTTTTAGCTTCCCTGTGGGCCACATCTCTGTTCACACGCACAGGACCTTTATGTGCTGAGCACGACTATAACATTGACTTTCAGTTTATCACAGACTAACCATATCTGGTTGCTACACATTGATCCTGACTCATGCTTTATTTTTGAAGATAACATTTTCAGCTTTCAGAAGATTTGTCCGTAGAACTGCACTAATTATGCAGGGCTTAGCTGATGGTAGCACAAGGAAGGAGGACAGCCACTGATTTACAAAGACCTGGGAATAGAGCCAGGCACTGGTCCTCTCCTGCTAGGTGTAAAGGAGCCCTTAATTAAACCTTTTCTCATTATAACCTATTTAGCCCTGCTGAGTGCAAGGGACAGGGCTGTTCCCACACTATTCCTCTGTTTCCCAAGTGGGAACATATTTTGAATGTGCTGATTAGAGTAAACTCTACATCCTGTCTTTTTGAGAGGAAGCAAGTAGGTTAAATCACTGAACCAGACACCCCACAGATTTCTAAAGGAGGCTGTGCAGTAACTTGAAGTCACAGACTAATCCCTTTTAAAGCCTTTTCATCTTCTCTTAAATTTACTGTACTTAAAGTTTGAAAAAAATCAGGATTTTCTGCTGCTTCTGCCATCTGGAGTATGTAAAGAAATGGGAAAAGGGATAAAGTTCAGACATCAACCAGAAGCTCCTTCATTTATGTCAGATGTCCTGAGAAAAAGAGAGAACAATGACCCTTACATGTATTACATATATAGTTGGTTCCATTTTTCTTTTCATTTTTTTCTTAAATAAAGAGAGTCCCATAAAAAGAGGTCAACCTTCATGTCCCAAATACTCTTTCAGTAGATACTTTTCTTCATACTTATTTTCATCAAAACTCTCTCAGCAAATTGTACTTCACTTAATTCTGGTGATGATCATAGCTTATGTGGGTCACTACTGTATGCAGAAAAAGCCTGTTACTCAGATGTATGGTATGACTCTTCTTTGATCCCACATAACTAATGTCAGAAGGTGGGTAGTAAGTGCTCCAATACATTAATATTGTCAAAGTGTTGGACAGTGAGTTCTAAATCAAGCTTTAGAGGAGCACATGTGGGAGGATACTGTGTTAGCTGTTCCAGAGTAGGAATCTGGGTTGCTTTCCATCACTCAGAAAGGTGTGCTACTAATGTTTTCATGCTCTTGGAAGCTGCTTCAAAGGGCTATTGGAGATTATCTTTCTTATTCTTTCTTATAATCCTGTTGAATTTAATTAATTAATTAATTGATCTACATTCACAATTTATCTTCTCTGCAAAATTTGATTCAGAATAACATGTTATCAAGATTCTCAATTTATTTAACCTAGGTTAAAATCTGATTTTCTTTAACATAATATGGTATGAGAGGTGTATCGAACCTCTCAAATGCTCTTGATTATCAGATTTTTTCAGAGAAGGGAAACATCTTCATTTTCTCATTTCCAAAAAAGAAGATTTTTATGGGAAGTTTACATTTCCCTAGGACTGTTATCAAAAAACATGCATATGTGCATTCAACCTCTCTTGTGAAAATAATGAAATATCTTTCTTAAATTTACTTTAATAAACACCATTTTTTTTGGAAAAAAAAAACCAAGCTTCCTATATAAAGAAAAATAGCTAAATAAAAACATATTGAACAGAAACATTAAAAAGCCTGTGTCATATAGTTACAGCATGTTGCCTTTTCTTCCGTCCCGGTGCTCAGCACTTACTTGGAGACAGGTTAGACATATTAAAAAGAACCAAAAACACACTGCAAAATGTTTCACATAATAAATTATGTTTTAACAGATCATGAAAAAAGAACTTATAAACATTTCAAGAATCAGCTTTCTTCCCATTACTGATATCTCACATCCAGGAAATCTCAGATGTGTTACTATAAAGAAGAGTGAGCTGCCCCCTCTTCTTAATTTGCTTGCGATTTCAGGAATGGATGGCATGTTTCAGTGTTTTGTTAATGCTAATACTTTGCATTTAATATTTGAACATAACATTTGGGGGTAGGTTATTATAAAAATAACAAAACACAAGGAAATGAGATATTCATTGTACATACTTCAAAATTTGACTCTTATTCTTTGGCCTGACCAAATACATTGTCCATGACTTTTGGAAAAATTAAGTCACAAGGAGATAGATTTGGTCTATCTGTAATATAATGGAAACTGAAAATATCTCTCCAAATTCTAATCTTTATTCTCAAATATAGATCTCTGTATTGTATTAAAAATTAATTTTCATCTTAGGCTTGATTAGCGGGGTTAGTGGTTTTGCTTGGGCAGATGGCATACAGCCTTGACATGTCCACTCAGCTGAAAACTCACTGATATCACCAGAAGGTTTGCTGTGATAGGGATGAGTGAGTATGCTAGACTTAGTTCTGCAAGTTTTACTTTTTTTTACATCATGTGAGAGGAGGGAGAAAAAGTCTTCTTATACCTCCTGTCTACCCTCTTTCCCCAAGAAAACCTAGAAAAAACCTTACGGCAAAGATTTACGTGCTTCTGAGTAACTCCTGCTTTCATAGGGATCATTCTAATAGTCCCAGGAAACAAATACTTACGACCTCAAGCCAAGAGGACCCTTCCATGTTATGCATAGTAAGGACAAAATTAATAAGAAAACTAATTCAGTGAGATAGCCCGTGCTTGTAGTTCAGTCTTGTTCCCTGCAAACAGGTGGCTGACTACAAGGTTGTTGAACTAACAATCACGAAATCAGAAGGGATTTTTTTAATAATGTGAAAAAAGGAAGAAATTAATTATTTTCACATTTTCACACTCACAGTGTAAAGTACAGAACAAGGGCAATGGGTATCATTTTGCACAGTAGTCAACTAACATCCTTGTTAAATTCACACTATCAGTGATGGGTTCTTACAAGAAAAGAGCTGTAACTTCGATTAACCAGTTGATGTGATGTCACTGTAGTAGTTTCATGCTGCTGTGCTATGGAAGTGGCTTTTGAGATGAATTATTTTTCTTTCATCATTTTTAATTGGTTTGATGTGCATTACTCCTTTCCATGGTTTTGTTTCATTTACTTCAGAGAAATTACTGCTATTTTTCATCGCCAGGGTGATGAAGAGGCTAGCCTGGGCTTGCCAATCAGTCCCTTCATGGATCGCTCTGCTCCTCAGCTGGCACACCTCCAGGAATCTTTCATCACTCACATTGTGGGACCACTATGTAACTCCTATGACTCAGCGGGGCTGATGCCAGGAAAATGGATAGAAGATAGTGATGAATCAGGAGACACTGATGAGCATGAAGAGGAAGAAACAGCAGAAATGGAAACTTGTGAAAATGCTGAATCCAGTAAGTTGGTTACACTTTAATTTTTCAACAGAGAAAGTTTCATATTGTGGCCAAAAGGCTAAATCAGACATACTGGAAAAGCACAGAGACCATGAACTGGTCAGGTTCAATATGGGCTTCTCCAAAGTTACAGTGATTCAGTGCTGCCTTTGATGAAGCTGGAATATAGCCGATTACATTGGTAATGGAGACCCTCAATGTTTTCAGTTCAGATATGTATTGCTGTTCTTATCTACTACTCATTTCTACCTTCAGTTGAGGTTTCTGGTGGTGGATCAGCCACCTGTGCATAAGACTTTTAGACTCTTTTTAGATTGTAAGTAGACAGCAACAATTTCAGTTGCAGAAGGGATGATTGAGAGATTTTTCACGGAAAGAACTCATCATTGCTATGAGTTAGCATGATGTACAGGAATAATAGAACGAGGTTCTGAGATGATGATGCAGTAAAAGAGGTTTTAGCAATGGAAGTGTTTTAATGCACATCTCTTCAAGGTAATGTGTGGATAAGGACAGGGAGAGACTTGGCACTGAGCATTGCTGTGTTGTGTTCAGAGCTGTGTCACTTGGCCTTTCTGGCTAAAGGTTACTAAATCAGTAACTAAAGCAAATAGTCTCCTGCCTCTATTCCAGAAGGGCAACAGTGCCAACATATGTCATACTCAGAGGAAATCTGTACCTTGAAAGATCTCAAAGATCTCAGGAACTCACTGGAAGTGTTTAGATTGGATATAAGGAAGAAGTTCTTCACAGTGAGGGTGGTGAGGCACTGGAATGGGTTGCCCAAGGAAGCTGTGAATGCTCCAACCCTGGCGGTGTTCAAGGCGAGGTTGGACAGAGCCTTGGGCGACATAGTTTAATGTGTGGTGTCCCTGCTCATGGCAGAGGGGTTGGAACTAGATGATCTTAAGGTCCTTTCCAACCCTAACTGTTCTATGATTCTAGGATTCTATGTAGACCCGTTTGTTTTACCAGTTTAATCCTGCGTGATTTACCTTTTCCTCTCTTTTGTGTTCCTCCTTCCTCTGAATTTCCTGCTACTGTTCTTTTGTTTACTTCCTCCTGGTCATCTTTCTCCCCTTCCCCTATATCTAATCTTTCTAGAAAGCACTAGCCTTACATGTGCTAGTGAAATACTGATGTATTGTTTTTTCTCTTAACAGCCTTTTTCTGTTCTTTCCCACATGTTTTCATGCCCATCCCTATTTTCTGTTGGGAAAGCTGAGAAGTGGAAAGATTTGATGATTGCAATAAGTCATATAAGGATGTGGAACTAAAATTTGCATCTCCTGATGTGCATAATTGACCTTATGTCTCTAGTAAGATATGAGGGTATACATTTTATATTTAAGAAATCATTGCTGTTGTTCACTCACATATGTTTGCTTGTATTGTAAGTTTAGCAGGTTCACATGCACAAAGATGTTGTTGAGAACAGCAAATACTAGGTAATACAGCCCACACAGATTTGTTTTGGCACCTTATGATCTATCAGCTCTGTAATAGCAGGCAGACCCACATGTTATAGTAGCAGATTGGCACTTAAGAAATCACCTACTAGAGGGAAAACTTACGTGATTAGTAACCAACATAGACCCCAAAGCCTGAAAATGGTATTGCAGTATTAAAAAGAAAGATATAGGATGTTCTCATTTTTCCACTGGAGTGTCTAACCTTACTTTGAAAACCTTAGTTCCCTTTCACCTCATTTCTGTATTCACTTACCTTCTGTATCACTGCTAATCAAGTCCAGCAGTGCTGCTTTCAGGTTAAAAGCACACACCATTATTAACCCTTGTCACATTGCAAACAGACCATTTTTTATTTGTCTTCTGTTTTCTTTTTCACATTCTACTCCATGACAGTACTTTAATACTCAACCTGGTGCTTTTAGACTCTTCATCTTATTTTCAAAACCTTAAAAATGAATGTATCAGAAGTTTTGAAATATCCAAACAAGTTCTTTCTATTTCATTCTTACCAAATGTGGGGTGCTTGTTTCTTGATCATACCAACACGTTGCAAACTGTTTTCTTCCACTTCCCTAAATTCTCTGTGACTGTGTGGATCTGTGAATCAGGCATATACAGCATCTTTTGTGTCAATGTAGGGGTCTTACACGTCATTAGAAATTTATACCTATCATCAACACAGTTTTGGATGTTCTAAACTTTCTCAATGAAACAAAAGGTTGAGATGTCAGATATGTACATATAGAGAGTTGTTTAAATGTTGGTTAAGTTCTTATTCTTGATGGAAATGCCTTTTAGGTGGATATATAATTGTAGCAGAAAACACTTCACCTAGCTCCTGATAATTCACTGAAGCATTTGAGATAGAGAGTTATTAAACCTTAAGGTAGCTTAAAATTGTTTTTGTTTCTATATGAGTATGTAATTCCCCCAAATGCAAGTATAAAAACTAAACAGACTCAGTCTTTAGTAATTCAGAGCACAGCAAGTGCTTGCTGGTGTCTCCAGAGAGCAACAAGATGCAGGGTCACGCCAGAAACCCAGGAGAGAATGTCCTGCTGCAGCATTGGCAGAGTAGGGACTTCTTACTAGTGTTAAACCTGAAGGTTTCCTACAGGGAACCAAGGGCTTTCTAATGAAGGCTTGAACTGGATTTGGTTTGTGTTCAGTGAAAAGCTCTTTGTTTCCAGTTCAAAAGCTTCAAGGGCTAAACATTTTGGATCCTGACACAGACATACTTTAGGCAACCTGCAAATACTAATCTGCGCAAGTTTATTTGGTACAAAACATTCCTCTATGTCATTTTCTTTAAAAGAGAAATCAGCAGTTGTCTTTGGAGTGGTTATTATTTCAGCTCTGTGGCTGCCATTGCCATTGTTAATGACCAGGGGAAATTTTCAAGCTTTGTACCATTCAGAAGTTAAGAATCTGTGTTGGACAGGCTATACTGATACAGAAAAAAACACACTTCAGACAGCAAAACACTTGCAGTGCAGCTGTGTCAGGAGCCATGAGAACTACCACTTGCAAAAACATTTTATAGGTTAGCAGCAGGGAACTGATGCTTCAAAACCAAAGACAAGCAAGCTCCCTGATAGTATTTAGCTATATGACTACTTTTTCAGTGGTCAATCTCCATTGCTAAAGCAACATTGTGCAAAGGCTTTAAGGTCATCTCCACCGCAATGGTGGAATGGTCTATCTCTGGCTTTGAAAAAGGAACATAGGAATGTGTTCCCTCCTTTGTTTTCTAATACTTGCTCATTCGTTATCCTTCTACAGCTCATATCAGAGCTAAAATGTGGAGAAAACAAAATTGTGATTTTTTTTGTTTGTTTTTTACAGGGCATTCAGCAGGGTCCATTGGGGGAAAGGGCACAGAATGTGATGTGTGTGTTACAAAGTAGGTTGATCAGTCTTTAAGTACTTGATACAAAAAAAAAAAATGAGCAGAAACACATTAGCAACTTGTTTTATGCATAATCATTCAAACACTAGATGTCTCTGTGAGCTGCATAGTCAGGGACAGCATGCAGCCTATGATAGGATGAAACTGAGGCTCAAACTATGCAGGAAACTAACTGGTTTGTTCTCCCAGAGGTCTGGAGAGGTATAGCTTTTTCAATTTTGAAGACTGTTAAAGTTTGTGGGTTGAAAAATCTGTTGATGTGGTTCCTGTATGTCATGGTACACCCTGTCTGCTTTCTACACCTTCAGTCCCTTTTTCTTCTCTCACAGAAAATAGTACCTTAACGCTACACGCTATTTTGCAGGAAAGAAGAAGTTCAAGAGGAGGAAAATCTACTGTCAGATCACTCAGCACCTGCTTCAGAACCATAAAATGTGGAAGAAAGTAATTGAGGATGAGGAGAGGTTAGCTGGGACAGAGGAGCAAGGCACGGAGCAGTCCGCACTGCATCAGTCTTCAGAACAAATCCAGGCCATCAGGGAAGAGGAGGAGGAGAAAGGGAAGCCCAAGAGGGATGAAGAGGAGAACACAACTGTAGAACCAAACCAATGACAATATTTACAGCAGTATTTTAAGACAGATTTACTTGTGCACAGTTGCTTTCTTAAGCCAGCACAGCATTTAGACACAACACTGTAGAAGTATGGGATAATGCGCCTACAGCTGTTTAATTTGTTTCTCTTTCCTTTTAATGGTGAGGTACATTGTTTAAACTCCTATGCTCAAGGAAGCTTTCACACTGCGACACCGGCTTTTTCAGAGTTTCTTTAAAGAGATTTGGGGGTGGGTGGTATTATATAAATATATATATAGCCAGGGTTATTGGCTGCGCACTTCAGCAAAATACATTTAATGATATATTATGGTCACTGTGATATTTACAGAGAAAGTTATCTAGGGAAATGCTGCTTCTAAAGCACATTTGTGGTTAACAGTAAGGTACCAGTTAAGTAGCTTTTGCTCTTAATGCTGAGGGATAAAAGTTCCAAAGCTTTATATGAATGCTGATATAACCTGCCAACATCTATGTGTGCATGAAGAGGTGTTTGTGGGTGTGAGTGGAAGTAAAGTAATAGAGCATAGTTTGAGTTCTTACTACAGTAACTGTAGTACATGTCCCAATACACGACAACAAACAGAAGGCCTGAATTTCAGAGAATTTGTCCCCACAAGGGAACTGGAGACCAATTTGAGGAGCTTTGCAAGTCCCAGTTTACACTCCAGCTGTAGGCAGCAGCCTTTCAGTAGGGGCTGAGGTGGTCCAGGCTGCTGGCCTGGCCCCATCCAGCTGTGTGAGCTCCTCTGTCTCCTCTTCATCCTCCTCCTTGGCATTTCCCAGATTGCTGGCGAAAGGGGTGTGTCAGGAAATCTATTTTCCAAAGGGGGTTATGAGACTGTGTGGCATGCTGATCTCTTCCCCTTGAGAGGGCCTGGCCCTCTGTATACTTCTGAGTGTATGAATGGCTGTATGAGGCAGTGTGTATCTTTGGGCAGAGGAGGAGAGAGCAAATGTGTGTATGTACTCAGAAGCTAGAGGCACTCTGTCCTCTTCCTATCTTAACCTTATGCCTCTGTGCATCAGTGGCCAAGTATATAATTTAAGAATGAAGCTAGACTACATCTCTTGAGAACAGAAGAAGGGGAGCGTGGGGCCATGCCCCTCCTCAGAGTAAAAGGCAAATGATGCATTAGGAGCAGCACGGGGGCAGGTGCCAGTCCTGCATCAACAGAACACATGTATATCTCAGCAACCACTCACATGAGCTTCAGAGAACTTGTTTTTTCAGTGTGACGTGCTGGATGGGAGCAGTTTGTTGCTGGCTATCTGCTTAGAAGCAGCGTGTTTGATCCCACCAATATACTTTTTTCTTTTTTCTTTTTCTATTAAGAGAAAGGAAAAGATCGGGCCTCTAGGAAGAACAGATCTTTTTTTGTTGTTGTTCTGTTTGTTTGTTTTCTCTGTTGTTTATGCTGTGAGCCAAATGTCTATTTAAAAGGTTGGATATTCACTTTCAATATTTTATTTCACAATATTATATTTGTCAATGATTAGCTATCTAGATGTAAATATGGAAAAATTTTTATGGGTTCCTGTAGATAATGATATCTTTAAGAAAAAAAAAAAAAAAAAGAAAGAGAAAAAAAAGGAAAAGTTCTTTTGTAAAGCTAATTTTTTAAAAAATAAATACAAAAACATTTGTATACAGTGTGGCCATTTCCAAACCCACCAAACGAAGTCTTGAGTAATTTGTAGAGGCCCTTCTGGGAAGCCAGTGGTCTACAGGATCAAGGCTTTAATATGTTAATGCTCTTTGGGACTGGCAGCACCAACCAGTACCACACAATTTAGAGTGTCGTTCCCACAAAAAGAATTACATATATAAAGTTCAGTATCACTCGAAAATCATTTGACTGCATATGCTTTTTATATTTTGATCCTGCAGCCCCTTGCCAGGAAGAGGATTGCTTGTGTAACAATGCTCGTGAAAGGCAGAATTTGTAGGAGAAGTCCTTTCTATATTAAATTTCCGACATTGTATCCATCACTTTTTGCTATTGTTATGCATTCACTGTATTTCATGACCCTATTGGTACCTCCCCAAAAACACTGGAAAACATTCTCTATCAAAGCCAATCAGCATGTGTGTTATCACTTCATTTTCTTTTTGCTTTGCATTTCCGTTAGCATAAGCTCAAAACAGGATTGTGATTTCTTCCAAGTTGCATTTGCCTGATGTTGTCCCATCCTACTCCTACCAGTAAAGAAGCTATTTGCCTTTCAACAGAGTGACTCTAGAGCATGGCTCTGAATGCTCTTAGCAGAGGTATTTAGTGTTTCTCAATGAAATTGGAAAAGCAAAGATCCAAATTGCACTTTTATTTTAAAGAGAAAGGATATAGCAGAATTCATTCAGAAGAAAAAACAAGATCTTTCCAAGATCTCAACAAGTCTCCACCAATTCCAGCTTGCACTGATTTCACACCTCTTCAGTCACTTCGATTTTATTTGAGATTTTCTTGTACAAGTTGTCATACTGTATAGTATGAAAAGAATTTAATATGCCTCATTCTGTCCTTATAAAAATTAAACTTACAGAGATATTTTAAAATGTCACATCTCCGATCGCTTTCTTCTCCATTTTCAGTGCATGATCACTGGGACTGGATTTTTATATCCATTTTTATATTGCCTTTGCTAGAAGAAGAAAAAAGAAGTTATAGCAGAAAGTGTTAGTGGGTGCCCAGTTGGTAAAATTACAGAGAGGCATTTAAGAATGAGGCAAAATCCTGCAAGTGGAGTTCCACATACTGCTCTAAGCAGGCATAGACAGAGTTGAACTAAGACAAATTATCCTAAAAGTGGGCTGAAATGGAATTACTGTATTTGGATTTACTTACTTTTTAGTCATCATTTTTGGTTACCATTACGTAAAATCAGTGTCAGCTTCTAATTTGTTAAGATTTTTTTCTATATTGCCAATGCAACTGTCACAAATTGTTACCGAATTGCTACAGAAGCCTGTTTGTGGTTATAGTTCGATTAACTGAGGTCTTTTACAGCAAAGGAGTTGCTGACAGGCTTAAAATCAGAATGACTGTTGATTTTATCCAAACTGGAAGGAATACCAGTGAAGAAGCTGAAGTAGCTGGGAGTGGTTAACTTGATAAGAGGTGACTTTTTTTGCATTCCAAATAGTTAGTAATAGAATCCAATTTCTGCAGGTATTCACTTTTTACAAATCTGATTTTCAGTCATTGCAGTGCATTTCTGGCAGGCAATGATCAGGGTTTCCCAGCTTGGCTTAAATGTAACACACAAAAAAAATCCAGAGAAATTTTACAACAAACATGTGAATACCATTTTTTGTTTGGGGTTTTTTTAGTAGATAATGAAGGAGGTAATTTTCAGGGGGGGTTATAATAGTTTCTAGTCTAAAGGAAGCAAAACTTTTGACCTGCAATTGCAGCAAACTTTTGGAAGGTAGATCTTGATGGTTTTCCACTTTGTGTAGTCCTTTGGTGTTGCAAACCACAAATAAACTACAGCCTGTGCAACATTTTTGGGGGAAAAGAAAAAACAATAATGAAAAATAACTCATTCTGTCAGTGAAGTGATCAGATTTCAGATGGATTTACAATGTTGATATGGGTTTCTGGTATATACAGTGTGCAGAGAAGTTTGTTAGATAGCAGAGAAAGCAAACCCCATTTAAACAGTGTTTTCCAGTAACAAAAAAATTATGTGTATTAGGTTTTGAGTTCTTTAAAAATAGGAAAAGCTTTTTGCAGTGCTGGCAGCTCCAGTGCAGTGAACACTTTGCCTGTCACATAGCAATCACATGTAAGTCCTTTTGTCCTCATATTCCCAGTTTGCTTAATAGTCACATGCTGTTTATAAATAGTGGAATATAACTTCTCTCATTATGTTTGTGTTGCAGAAGGAACACATGAAAGTAGAGAGTGAGAAAGCCCCAAACTGTTTATGTTACTACTTTTTCTTTTGAGGACAAGTCTGAGACTTTAGTTTCCAAGAACCCCAAAATGCCTGCATCTAGAAGTAACAATTTCCACCGTATTCAAAGGGCCATAGTTTACTATTTATGTTCTAGTTCTTGAGGGAACCTGGCATTTCTTGGTTTGTTTTGAACCTGTGTACAGAGCATGTTGATGCTCGTCTCTGAAAATCATCTGCCTTCTCCAGTAGGAAGATGGTGTTTGGTGTGATGTTGCAAGCCATGTATCAGAAGTGAGTTGCAGGAATCTCCTAGGAAAAAGGGATTTTACTGTGCTCTTGGCAGCATTTTGAACTCCCTTCCTCTCTGAGTGAAATCCTTACAGAAAGTTGGGGAAATGGCTGTGTGTCACCAATGGCCTCCCCTGTGGTAAATGGCAGTCACCTTCTGGCAGCAAACGGTTCCCAGGCCAGGTGTAATCTGAGAATGCATTTGTTAACAATGCAAGGATAGTTGCTCATCAGTTTTTACCCTACTATCATGTGAGAATGTCTTTCTGCATCATCATCAATTAAAATCCAAGATTGTGATTGCTCAGGACCTTCTGAGAGGATGCATTTCTGTAAAACCTTAAGGTAAACCCCTTAGTGCACTATTAGATGTTCATAAGATCTTGATGATCTGGTTTTGGAAGTAAGTTAAGTCTGTAAAGGTTCAGATAGATGCTTCTAAAAGTACCATTTAGCATCCAAGCAAATTCTGTACCCAGCTCCCTTTTTATGCTTTCCACGCTGGACATTAAGTTCATATGTTTTCTTTAGAAAGTTCTTCTAAGTTTCTGTTTGCTTTTCAGATACAAAACATTTTCTGAAATTCTGGCCACATCGTTCTTACTTGCTTCAGAAACACCTCAGAAAGTAGAATGCCTTCTGTTGAAGCCAAGTATCTTGTCACACTGAGCATCAGTCAGTGGTACAGCCCATGAGGCACATTGACACCCTGCGCCATGCCCATGGCTGCTGAGCTGTGAGCTGAGAAGGTCTGGGGTAGCTGTCAGTTTGGGTATTCAGCAGCCCGAGCCCTACTATTTTTTGGTGGGATTTGGGATCTTAAGAGAATTTTGTCCATTTGCAAAATGAACCTTAGGCACTTTTGAATAAGTATAATCCAGCAAAAGATTTGTGGTTGGTCCCAGGTGTTAATGAACTACCTAGGCAAAGTCTCATTAATTATGTGGGACATGCTGCTTGATCGATGTATTGTGATCCTGGGCTGGTGATGATGAGGGCTTTGCTGTTGATGAGTCCACCAGATTGCAGGTTTGAGTCCACTCTCTCACTGATTTTCCATATGCACAGCCAGATG